TGAGAGAATGACTAAGCACAGGTAAGTGGGGTGGCTGTCCTCCAAGCTCCAACCCGACTCCTCACACAGCTCCAGTCTACCTACTCTGCCCTCCCTGTGCCAGAGCCCAAGATGAGTGGCTGCATAAGAAATCTTGTGCATTGGGCCTTTAAGAGGGTGCCTGCATTTCCAGCCATCTCTAGTTAGCATACAGCAACCCGTTGCTTTTCACAGCCGGGTGTTATGTGGGCACCTTTCTCAGTTCTGGTTCTCTGGGTTGAGGAGCCCAGCTTGGGGTTTAGAGCAGAATTCTCAGTGGGAATCTCCCATAGTTAAGATATCCCTCTTAGCTATGGGGGAACCTTCAGCTGCTGTCTATGGGAGCCTGGCCAGCTCTTTCACGTTTCTGCATTTCCTACCAGTTTCGATATGATCTCCACTTTCTATCCTTAGTTATCACGGTTCTCTTCAGTCTTCAGTTGATTTTTCAGGATGGTTTTTCTATATTTTAATTGTATTTCCAATTTGGTCTTGGGAGAGTATCAGTGTAGCTTCTACTTATTCTACTGCCATTATCCTCCCCTAAACCCTCCTCTCCTCGCCGCTTTTAAATTTTTTGATTGAGCAAATTACCCAACTTCTCTAAGCTTGTCTTCTTATCAAAGTTGGGAAAAACATAATACTCAGCCCATGACCCAGCATTATTTAAAAAATCAAAATTATCATGTATCTTAGGAAAGCAAAGTACCCTATAAAGGTAAGGAGCGGGGAAGACGTTCTCAGACATCAACCTTTCCTGATTAACAAAGCCCACTGGAGCCTGGTTGGTGTGGCTCAGAGGATGAGCATTGGGAGGTCATCGGTTCCATTCCCAGTCAGAGCACATATCCAGGTTTCGGGCTCCATCCCAGTAGGGGGCACGCAGGAGGGCAACCAATTGATGATGTTCCTTTCTCATTGATGTTTCTCTCTCAATATCTTTCTCCCTTCCTCTTCTCTAAAACAAAAGACAAAAGTCCGCTCTAGCTTGTTTGGCTCAGTGGATAGAGTGTGGGCCTGCAGACTGAAGGGTCCCACATTCAATTCTGGCCAACGGCATGTGCCTCTGTTGCAGGTTTGATCCTCGGTCCTGGTTGGAGCAAATGCAGGAAGAAATTAATCGATGTCTCTCTCCTGGACTCTCTAAAAATCAATGGAAAAATATCCTCGGGTGAGGATTAACAACCAAGTCCAGTGGAATCCAGAACAGTAGTGGCTGGAAGGCTGGTTTTGTTCACTGCTCTTTTGTGTGTGTGTGTGTTTCTTCCTTGGATCACAGAATACTTACTAAATGTTAATCTGGAAAAGGAGTAAGTAGGGAAATTGAAAAATTTTACCATCAAAAGAAACTAAATTTTACTGAAACCTTCAAAATGGTAAAGAAATTTTAAAAAATGTGTATTGGTTGCCCCCTCTTCCATCTATAAAATGACTAAATCAAATTTTATATGGTGCAACGCTGCCACTCACAAATATTCCTGCAGACCTTGTTTCTTATGGAAGTGTCACAAGCTGTACCTACCACTCTTCTGAACCATGAACATCAACTGTAAATGGGGGGGGGGGGGAATCGATTATAATGCACACTGTTGTATCTGAATAGTAAGTTTTATAAACCAGGTAGTTTTATAGTTTTTTTTTTTAAACTTTAGAAGTGAAGAAATAAAGTAAATCTGACTTTCAAGAGCCAAAGGCAATTGTTTTCAAACGAACTGGTTAAGCCAGTGATGGCACCTCTGACTTTTTTAGTAAGGAGAGAGAAATGTTATTAATGAAATTATGTATATACCTATCCGAGTTGTGTGGATTGAATGAGTTTAACATGTGTAAGTTAGAACCATGCCTGGTAGACTAAGCCCTTAATAAATGTGTGTCTTTGTGAACTGAGAGTGGAAATTCAGAGAAGTGAATGAGGTCATCAGCTGGGCCTCTACCAACTACCTATTAGCATCTTGCTTCTACATAATTTTTTTTTAATATATATTTTTTTATTGATTTTTGTACAGAGAGGAAGGGAGAGAGATAGTTAGAAACATCGATGAGAGAGGGTCATCGATCAGCTGCCTCTTGCACACCCCCCACCGGGAATATGCCCGCAACCAAGGTACATGCCCTTGACCGGAATCGAACCTGGGACCCTTCAGTCCCTAAGCCAACGCTCTATCCATTGAGCCAAACAGGTCTCGGATTGCTTCTACATAGTTTTGACAAAACGTGCTTCCTTCCTTCAAAGACTAATCCTTCCACCTGTTCTCTGGATCCCCACCCCTCCTGCTTCCTCAGTGACCTTGCTTTGTCAATTACCACTTATTACTACATCTGGAAACTTTCTCTACTGGCTCTTTCCCCAACACACGGATATTTTTTAAAACATATTTTTATTGATTCAGAGAGGGAGGCAGAAATATCAATGATGAAAATCGTCGATCGGCTGCCTCCTGCACGCCTCCCAGTGGGGACTGAGCCCACAACCCAGGCATGTGCCCTTGACCGGAATCAAACCTGGAACCCTTTAGTCCACAGGCTGATACTCTATCCACTGAGCCAAACCAGGTAGGCCAGGAATATTTTATTTATTCCATTTTTAAAATAATCTCTCAATTTTATAACCCTCTTTTAACTATTATGCTGTTGCCAAAACTGGTTTAGCTCAGTGGTTAGAGCGCTGGCTTGTGGATTGAAGGGTCCAGGGTTCGATTTCTGGTCAAGGGCATGTACATCCCCAGTGGGGGGTGTTCAGGAGGCAGCTGATCGATGATTCTCTCTCATTGATGTTTCTAACTATCCCTCTCTTTTCTTCTCGGTAAAAAATCAATAAAAATATATTAAAAAAAACATGCCGAGACCGGATTGGCTCAATGGATAGAGCGTCGGCTTGGGGACTGAAGCCGATTCCGGTCAAGGGCATGTACCTTGGTTGCGGGCATATCCCCAGTAGGGGGTGTGCAAGAGGCAGCTGATCGATGACTCTCTCTCATCGATGTTTCTGACTATCTCTCTCCCTTCCTCTCTGTACAAAATCAATAAAATATATTTAAAAACAACAAAAAAAAAAACAAAACAAAAAAACAACTACTATTATGCTGTTTCTTTCCTTCCTATGTACAGATAAAGCTTCCAGGAAAGAGTAACTTGTATTTAGTTACACCTCCCATCACTCCTCCTCTGAACCAGTTTTCCTTCTTTCTTAACTGCACCTTAAATCGTTCTGACCAAGGTAACCAGTGACTGTCTAGATGCCAGATGCTTAGCCAGTCCCCATTTTACTCAGCTTCATTGTAGCCTTTGGCAGCATTGATCACTCTCCTCTTTAAAAAACTTCCTATAATATTTTCTTTTTCTCTCCTCTCTCTCCAATTATTCCTTCTCCCTTTTGTGGACTCTCCCAACTACCACTTTTACAAGGAATTCTCCCAAACATCTAAATATTTAGCTACCTGTTGGACCTCTTCTCACTTGCACATTTCATGGCACCTCAAATATGACCAAAATGGAACACGGCATCTTCTTTCCCAAATCCATTCCTCTTTTGTTCCTCTTGGTAAATGGTCCCACATCTACCGAACTCCCCAAGGCAAAGCATACAAGTTATTTTGAATTCCTCCTTCCTTATCATGAATACTCAGTAGTTGAAATCTTAGTCTCTTAAGTTTGCAAGCATTGTCTCTCATCTCCATCCTGTCACAACTTTGGTTGAAATGCTCTTGCTTACCACTGCAGTCATTGCAAAGGCCTCCCAGCCTCAGATTTTACCTTCCCCTCCCTACCCACACTATTTACTGAATGACCACCAGGATAATCTGTGTTGTAAATCTGAGCGTTTTATTCCCTTGTTATAAATCCTCATTGGCTCTTTTGGCCTACTGCATAAAGTTCCAAAATTCTTAGCGTGATAGATAATACCATTAGTGATCTATTTTTAGCTTAAGCCACTGACTATATTTTACTTTTCTCCCTTCAAACCCTATAACCTAATATTGAACTGCAGTCACCAGAACATGCAACTCCACCTTCCCCCTTGTTTTAATCTTACCTGGCTGTTTCATCCTCCGAAACACAGTTCAGACAGTACCTTCTCCAGCATGTCTTCCTCACTGTTCTCATCATCGTTGGATTGGGTGCCTATCCTACCTGTTGAGACATTCCACCACAGTCCTGTAGTTTGAATTTGACATTGTAACCCTTAATCATATAGTTTTCCTGTATTTCCTTGAGAGCAGTGACTTGATAGTTTTCTTTCTAGCTTCAGCTTTTATTACAGTGCCTTGTGCCTAGTGAGTAGGCACTCAATACACATGTTAAGTGAGAAAATGTTCTCAGCTGCCTAAATAGTTTGGACGGTAATTCAAAGACCAGTTTTAGTGTCTGTGAGAACATGCAAGATTTGATCAGCTCCCATCAAGTTTCTTGAAACCAAGAAATGGAAGAACAAATTAAGTATTGCTTTAAGGAAAGATGAAATCCAGCCCAATTACACATTAGAAAATACTAAAACTGACAATCGTGTTTAAAACTAGCAAATGCCACATGAGGAAAACTAAGCTATAATTGTTGACAAAAGGCTTTTTAGTTTTCAAAATGACTACTATTTCTTTATCTGGCCCCCTTTTATAGCAATAATTTGCTATGATCTATGATCATTTTCTTAGAACATTCTATCATTGGGTATTACCATCTGATGTTAGATTTAAAATTTATAAATTACAGCCCTAGCCGGTTTGGCTGAGTGAACAGAGTGTTGGCCTGCGGACTGAAAGGTCCCAGGTTCAATTCCAGTCAGGGGCATATAGCTTGGTTTCGGACACATCCCCAGTAGTGGGTGTGCAGTAGGCAACTGATCGATGTTTCCACATTACTGATGTTTCTAACTCTTTACCCCCCCCTTCCTCCCTGTAAAAAAAAAAAAAAATTCAATATGTATTTTTAAAAATTTATAAATTGCAACTTATCAATTCTCCCAATGTGTGAAGCATTAAACACAATCAGGTATCAATATTTATTAACACAAGACAAAGGAAACACATTCAATGAGTTAATAGAACACTGTCCAGCCAGATGTTAAATTTAAAAATGTATATCTAGTCTAATTTCAAATAAATAAAAAAACTTTATACATAATTACACAGTACTATAGTTTGAATTTGACACTGGTAAATATCTTGACAGAAAGTAAACAAAACAGCATTTAGGACTAAAAAAGTATTCTTATATCTTTACACTCTCTTCCTCGGGACAAACAGCATGGCCATGTACATATACCTAAAGCAGAAATGTATGAATGATAATGAAAAGGCCTATTGTGTACTTGGAGTCCTGCAGCTTCTTGCTCCAAATACTCTTGCTTTACAACAAAACAACACTAAGGCATAGATCATGGAGTTTGAGGGTGAGGTGGTAACTCCTCATTAGCTTTAGTCTAAAAGATTCCTGCATATTTAAGAAAGTAACTTATTTGGCCAAGATATTGAGCACCATGCCTGGGGCAGAGGCCTTAATAAAAAACCTAAGGCCTCAGGCCCTTTGTTGATTCAACAAAAGCATTAAGCAAGCATTGCCCAGGGACTAAAGGAAGCACACTCACATGACCTGTAAATAGGCAATGGTCCCGAACAGCCTGAGGCAGCACAGCTTCCTAAGGAAAGGACATGGTACTGGGGTAACAGGCCCTTAATGAGGAAAAGTGAAGACTGGGCTCCCTGGTGCCCATTAGCATGCTGGTCTTCCCCAGGGGCTCACCGATGCAGGAGATGGCATTCCTGTAGCTCTAAGAATTCGTAGGACCTCGTGTTTTTCTGGAGGCAGCCCTTTCTCTGATCTACCTCAATTACTCCTGCTGAGGAGCAGAAACAGGCTCTAAAAGCTTTCAGATGAGATCTCTCTTAGATGAAAGGGGGGTTGCTATTTGGTGTTTTTTTTCACAGGCATAAAAACCCAGACAATGTAGTTCGGAGTTTGGCAAGGCTCTTTCTACCAACAATGATCTTTTGGGTCTGTCTAATGTGGAAAGAGCAAGAGCACTGTGTCATCGAAGGAAAGTTTTCTTATCCAAGTCTGCAACAGACGGAGCACAAACATCTCCAAGCTCATGGCTGGACTCTCTTCCCCTTCCAGAGATACTGGACCAGAGCTACTGATGGAGCTCCCAGAGACACAGCTCAGCTTTCTCTCCTCCACAGACGAATTCTGGCTTTTGAGGGATATGCAGAAGATCAATAAAGCAGCCACAAGGCAGAAAGCAAAAACTAAAGATGAATCAGAAACTCTAGGAACTATAAAACTAGCTAACTGGCCCCTAAGTAACTGGGAATTGGCCACATTTTGAGATTAATAGATTATCTTTTTTTGAAGGAATGAGTATAGCTCTGCACTATCCAACACCATAGCCATTCCCCACATGTGGCTACTGAAAACTTGAAATATGGTTAGTCTGAACAGAGATGTGCTTAACAATATTGGATTTCAAAGACTTAATAGGAGAAAAAAAGTAAAACATTTCAGTACTTTTTCTATATTGATTTCACAATGCATGGTATTTTTTTTATATATTGGGTTAAATAAAACATTTTAAAACCATTTCACATGTTTCTTTCTTAGTTCTTAAAATGTGGTTACTAGAAAATCTAAAATGACAGATGTGGCTCACATGATACTTCTAGCAGACACATTAACTTGTGCAGTAAAGAATAATACAACCCACAGAATAGACTCTGCCTATATTATTTCCTTAGAACTTACTATTTACTTCTCAGGGTCCCTTGTTTTTGTTTAGTGAATCAGTAAGAACTGTTTTCAGGAAATTACTTTCCAAAAAAGAAGGCTGTTTTCTCTGCAAAACAAACCGTTGCTAGTCGCTGGGATTCTTGCCCCAATGTAAGTGCTTTCTCCCCTGTGCATCCTAGAACCTCTCCCACCACGTATAAATTAATGTCACCCCAAATGCTGGAAAAGAGATCTGGAACTGGAAAACGTCTTGAGGTCTGCCTTCTGTGGAGAACGGGTCGGGGGAAGGGGGTTATGTAAAAGGGAGTCATAAGGTGGCTTTGAGTCACAGACTGGAAGGCAGCCTCCAACAACGCTGCCACAGAGAAGGGTCCGGCCTTTGCATTACAAACCTTATTTTCAGGGTACTTACAAGTCTTAAAAACTGTTTAAAAACATATTTAGTTTACATGATGTTACAGTGGGGTAAATAATATGTATTATTAAAATAGTCTAAATAAATATTTACACAATAGACAGAGTGGGTCAAAGAGAACCATTCTGATTTAACATGTTAACTCTGTTCACTTTGATTTTTTTTTAATTTTTAAAAATATTTCTGTAAGAAAAAAATAAATTCAACTATATTCAAATACATGAAGTATCAGACCAAAGGAAGAAACTGAGCTGGAGGCCACCCTCAGTCCCAAGCTCAGTCTTGCTTGGCCTGAGCACCACAGTTATTTCAAAAGAGTTTCTTGCATACATCGCACGTCCCCTGTTTCAGCATAAGTCTGGCTATTTTGGCAAGTCAAATTGGTGAGTTTTGAGATGTACAGTTAGGTGGCCTTATGGTTTCACGGGACTTTGGTCCCACTGTCTTCCCAGCCTATCGTTCTTGTTCTTAAAATCTTGGCCCTCATGAACTGGAAGGTCAGAGGGCACTTCAGTTTTCAGAAAAGAGAAGCTATATGTACAAACTGTAGTCACAGTTTACACTGAACCTGGAAAAAAGAGGAAATTCTAAATTCTCGTGTAGTCACTCTTAACTTGAAACACAGTTTCAACACTGGGGGCCAAAGTGAGTAATTGTGGTTCCTTGGAATAGGGGTGGGAGCTAATGAATCTGAGCTTTTGCATAACATTTTGATTTTTAAACAGATTTTTCAGCTTGTAGAAACAGGTTGAATTCTTAAAAGCTTAAATAAAGCTGATTCTGGGAATGCAAACTTTAAAAACAAACATAGACAGCTTTAGTTTATAAAATACACCAGCCAATAGAGACATAGTATGATGTGCAGCGAAATCTGCAAACAATTTGCATTTTTTAGTTACCTATTCAACTACACCACATTAAGAAATTCTCTCAAAGTAGAAATGTTTCTACTTTGGTGGTTGTAACTAGACAAGCCAATCTTCATTTTTTTGAAGCTAAATTATGTATATTCTTATTTACATGTTCAAAACAATGGTCAAAATGTTTTACAGTCAAGAACTATACATATATAATTTTCATATTCAGCGAGTTATCCAATTTGCTTATGAGCCAACCGAAGATGAGTAGTTCCATGTTAACAAAACCCGCAGGATGTCTAGCTGGTAAAAGGCAAGATACAGTACAGGGCGGGGAACCGGGTACCTCAGACTACCCCCTTTTGTGAATTCATTAAACTCCCTTACAAAATTCTAAAATGGCATTAGATAAAAATACAAGTATATACAACCGATGAAAAATATGCAACATGCATGTAATTGCTTTAGTAACGTGCTGCTCACGCTATGTCAAAGCTCATGACTGTTAACATTTTTTTCATTTGCCACCACAGAATTCCCCTTTTCTGTGTGCTGTGTGATTGCAGAGTCCCACAGGATGAGATGAAGGATATAATGTAGCCACCTCAGCTTATTTTACACGATCTGAAAGCTTGCTCCTAAGTCACCGGTCTCTGGTGCTTGTGGTTTCCGGATGGCCCCGATCATCTCCACAGGCTGTTACATGTTATAAGCCACGTAGATGGGGTCTAACTGGTCGGCGAGGAAGCTGTCACGGAGGTGCATCCTCTGCTTCTCTCCTCGGGAGTTGATGGGGATGACGCCTGGGTCCACCACAACCACGACGCCAACGATGAGGTAATGCTCCTCCAGAACCACGTTTGTCACCAAAGGAACCAGATCTAGAGCTTCCTGTTCAGAGCCACACAGTTCCACCACCACCACCAGCAGGTTGGTCCACGTGAAGACGGCACTGAAATGTCAATGACATTCATTTCAATGTCAGTACATTTATCAGTCATCCTGTACAGTTTTATCTTCCCAGGGCTTATCCCCATTTCCCTGAGAATTGCCTTCTCTCTTAGCAGCCATGTCTGTAATATAGAACCTTCCCTATGATCGCAGCTGATTAGCTGAGCCATCCAAAATCCCTTGGGAGTTTGGAACTGGGATTGAAAGTTGTTAGCTTGTCATCTAACTGGGGACACGTGGACTTGAAAGTTGTGGGGTAGCCACGTGTGTAGAGAATCAGAGAATGGTTCTTGATGGAGAAGACAAAGAATAAAATGGATGTCCACGTGGCTCTAGCAAGTAAGAGGACAGTGGTCCTGATGGCCTTGTGTCTACCTTTCTTGAGAAACAAAGTTAGTTAGAAATTAAAAAAAATATATATATTATATTGATTTTTTACCAAGAGGAAGGGAGAGGCTTAGAGAGTTAGAAACATACATGAGAGAGAATCATCAACCAGCTGCCTCCTGCACACTTCCTACTGGAGATGTGACCGTAACCAAGGTACATGCCCTTGACCGGAATCAAACCTGGGACCCTTGAGTCCGCAGGCCCTGAGCCAAACCGGGTAGGGCAATTAGTTATAAATTTTTAGGAACTTCTGAGATAGGCAGGTATTCTTTCCATTAACTCTCTCTTTTGCTTAGGGTTTTTTTTTTTTTTTTTTTTTTTTAATAATTTCTGTTATTTGCAATGTAAGAACTTTGACTAAGATAATATTCTTCATATGACTTGGCTTCATCTGAGCTTAGTGCCCCACACAAGCGTGTCTCCTCCTATGGCATAAAAAGGCCATGAAGCAGTAGGTTGCTTTACATTGAGGGGGATTGCTGGGTTAGAGGAAATGACCTGACTTGTGCCGTGCAATGTTAAACTGATTTAACAGAGTCCAATCATTAAAGAAAAATTCTCACAATATCTGACTACATTAAAAGCAGAATGTCAACCAGGCTGGGTAGCTCAAGTGGTTAGAGCATATGTCAAGATTTGGGGTTCAATCCCCTGTCATAGCATATACAAGAAACATCCTGCCGAAGCCGGTTTGGCTCAGTGGTAGAGCGTCGGTCTGCGGACTGCAAGGTCCCGGGTTCGATTCCGGTCAAGGGCATGTACATTGGTTGCGGGCACATCCCCGGTAGGGGGTGTGCAAGAGGCAGCTGGTCGATGTTTCTCTCTCATCGACGTTTCTGGCTCTCTATCTCTCTCCCTTCCTCTCTGTAAAAAATCAGTAAAATATATTAAAAAAAAAAAAAAGAAAAAAAAAAAGAAGCATCCAATGGCCCAGCTGGCGTGGCTCAGTGGTTGACATTGACCTATGAACCAGGAGGCCATGGTTCGATTTTGGTTGGGAAATATGTCCAGGTTGTGGGCTCGATCCCCAGCAGGCAACATGCAGGAGGCAGCTGATCAGTGATTCCCTCTCATCATTTGTTTCTATCTCTTTCCCCCTCTCCCTTCCTCTCTGAAGTAAATAAAAATGTATTTTTTTAAATGAAGCAACCAATGAATGCATAAATAAGTGGAACAACAATAGATGTTTCCCTTTCACTCTCCCCACTCTTTCTCCTGTCTCTCAAATCAATTAAAATTTTTTTATAGTAAAATGTCTAAAATTAGAGGGTTAACCATGGACCTCAGCTTCTCTACATTTTCTTATACTTCAGGGACATTATTCAGGTCTGGGGAGAGACTGACCAAAGTGAGAACATTTTTAGACAAAGAAGCATCTGGAAAGGAGGTGCAATCTTTAAAAGCATTGTGGCCTTTCAGCAAGGGGAAAAAGAAACAAAAAACAAGTAAGGACACACTGATGAGTATGTAGAGAAAAGAAATTAGGTGGATTCTGTACTGTCAAGAATCCAAAATAAAAGCCAATATGAAAAAACTTCAAGGTTTAAATTTTAAGGAATTTTAAGTCAATCTGAGGTTGGATGATCCCTTATCAGGGATAATGTAGGGGGAAATTAGACCGGATAAAAGTAATGACCCTTTTCATCTGCTTACCATTTAACAATTTAAGAGTACATTCTCATTGGATCCTCCCAATAACCAGGAAGTGACAAAGAAAGTCTTTTTCAGATGAGAGAAGCAGCCTAAGTGGGAGAGCGAGGCCTTTAAGCTCTTGGTCCCGTCCACCATTCTACTCAGACTAAAAAGGAAAGTCTATCGTTAAAGAGGACTCGGCTCTGTAACGGTCCTTAGAGCAGGTCTCAGGTCTCCATGGCCCCATCTGCCACAGCAGATGGCACACCAGACAGAATCGATCTGCATATCAGTCCTGGGGCTGCAGGTGGTGCTGGTGCCTTCACTGACTTTAGTTTTCCTCGATTACGGCAGAGGGGGGAAGCCTGTTCGGGGTGGGGCTTACCATTCAGCAATGCTCCTGTGGACCCGAGACACTGAGGTCTCAATGTCGATTGGGTGGTATCGTAATCCCCTCAGCTCCAGCGTTTCATCCAGAGCTCCCACCACGTATAACGCGTCATGACGATCTGACAAAGAGAAATCTGGTGTATCAGACACATTTTGAGTACAATACAATATTAGAATTAAGAGCACAGAGTTCTGGCTACACTTTAGGCAAATTAATCAAGCCCCCGGATCCTGCTTCACCCTCTGACAAGATAAAAACATGGCGGTGGAGACCAACCAAAGGACTTGTATGCATGCATATAAGCCTAATCAATGGACACAGACAGCAGGGGGGTGAAGGCATGAGTGGGGGGTGAGGTGGGGGTTGGGATAAGGAAACATATGTAATATCTTAATCAATAAAAATAAATAAAAACTAAAACACAAAAAAACATGGCTGTTCCCTGGCTGGTGTAGCTCATTTGGTTTGAGTGTCTTCCCGTGTACCCAAGGGTCATGGGTTCAATCTCTGTTCAGGGCACATACAGGAGGCAACTGATTGATGTTTCTCTCTTTAAAAAAAAAAAAATTAATAAAAACATATAAAAAATAAAATCAATAAAAACATATCCTTGGGCAAATATTATGAAAACAAAACCAAAACAAAACATGGCTGTTATTAGGATTAAATGAGATAATCCACGTAAGGTAGTTTAGTTTACTATGATACCGGTAGATTGTAAGTGCTAAAAATTAGCCATTATTATTATTACTACTATACCACCTTACCAGGAATTGTACCAAGTGCTGGGAAGACAAAGATGACAAAACACAATTCCTGCCTTGAACACTTACTATCTACAGGGGGACGCACACACACAGATGGGCGTTCCATTGTAACACAGTGACAGGGGTGTGCACAAGGCATCAGGGAAACAGAGGATATCCCGAGAAGAGCTGAAGCCAGGCTGAGCTGCTAAGGATAAGTAGGAATTGGCCAGATGATGGCTGGGGGAGGGGAGAAGGAAGGGAAAGGAGGACTTGAGGAGAAGAAATGAACACGTGTCATTGTGTCTAGACTTCTTCAAGGAATCTGGGAATAAGGAGTAGGATTAAAGAATGTGGAGATCCTAGTTCTGGTTATTAATAGGGTTGTAATCTGTGTCTATATTGCTAGTGAGTGCATTCTGCGTGCCAGGCACTGCTCTGGGCACCTAAATGCATCAATCCCTGACTGGGAATTGAACCATGACCTGGTTGGTTCATAGGTCAACACTCAACCATTGAGCCATGCCGGCAGGGTTAGAGTTGGGTGTTTTAAAATGCCTATTCATGCCGGGACCGGTTTGGCTCAATGGATAGAGCGTCGGCTTGGGGACTGAAGGGTCCTGGGTTCGATTCCGGTCAAGGGCATGTACCTTGGTTGCGGGCATATCCCCAGTAGGGGGTGTGCAAGAGGCAGCTGATCGATGACTCTCTCTCATTGATGTTTCTAATTCTCTCTCTCTCTCCCTTCCTCTCTGTACAAAATCAATAAAATATATTTAAATAAATAAATAAATAAAATGCCTATTCATGCCACCAGGAACACAGACTGAAGGCAGCAGTGAAGCCATGACAATGAACTGGGCAGAGGATGGCTGGGGGACTGCTCATACCGGAGCCTGGCCATGCAGTCTCAGTCCCACACATGACATTAAAGGGACAGAGGAGCATTTCTGCAGACGGCTCCTCTCACGGACTCCCTGTCAGGGATGAGGGCTGGCACACGGGAGTAGAAGGGCTAAAAGGTGAAATACCATCCCGAGGGTTTGTTGGGGCTGAGGGTCTGTGTTCTGCCTTTCACTCCTCATCAGGCTCACCTCCAGCACCGAGGCTGTGCCGACCCCCCGTTCGGGGTGCCGACGTGGTACCCTGGGTGCTTCCCTCCTAGGTGTTTTTCAGGGGCAAAGTCTTTATTTGCAGATGAATTCACACATGGATTAAAGAGTCATAGGAGGAATAATTAAATACACACAGCACAATGCAAAGGCCAGCCTTGAGGAAGGCCAGCCCTGCTCCTGGCGGAAATGCAAAGCGGGATGAAGGGGAAGAGCTGGCGTGGGAGACACTCACCTCCAGTGGCCGCTGTGAGCTCAGTTCGGCGGACAAAGCCCAGGTAACCTGTCCGGGCCCACAGTGTCTGAGCAGCGTCCCCGAAGCTGAGGCGAGTGTTGAAATGATCAGCTTGAAGGGTCTCGCTGTCGTAGATGGTGTAATAGCCACTGGCGGTGTGGGGACTGTTCACCCAGATCTACAAGAAAAGGCACTGGTCACATTTCAAAGAACACAGACTGTGAGTTTAGTTTTTTAAACTCATTTTTATATTAACAGCAACAACGCAACTGCAATAAAAGCAGCTGGCATTTCAGTGAGGTAAGTACTTTATTTATATGCTTTATCTCATTCATTACTGCCATGTATGACATGATAATATAGTTCACACGATGGTTATTCCCATTTTACAAATGAAAAAACAAGAAGTTCAGTAACTTGCCTAACGTGCGGAAACTAGGAGACTCAGACCCAAGTCTGAGTGACAGACACTACCCTGCCTGCCTGGCCCATTGCCCAGCCTCTTCCAGAGTCTCACGAAGGCTTCAAGGTGTCATTCCTGCGCTTCTGAAATAAGGTATAAGCCCTCAAGGAAACAATTCAGAGTATTTGAATTTACCACATAACAACACAATACCGAAAAGTGGTTGGTGCCATTCCATGCGCATTACAGATACAGGTATTATGTAATGCCTTTAATTGTCACACAATTCTACTACACAGGGGCAAATATTACCAATGGATGAGGAAACTGAGGCCCAGAGAGATTCAGTAACTTGCCCAATACTGAGAAGCTGATAAGGGGCAGAGCCCAGGCATCTGGCTCCGGTACCTACAACACTCCTCCCAGTCGGCTAGGGGATGAAACGGTGGCCCTCAAAGATTTGGAGGAAGAAAAATTAGGCATTTAAAAACATTTTAATACTAATACAAAAATTAACACATTTTGGGATAGAATATAAAATTTGCATGCACTTTTGGAATTTAATATTTATGGCTCCTTAAATAGGTGCGAGGAGGTAGGATTTGCCCATTTTCCTTTTCAACTGAGCGCTGTCAGTGGACAAACCTGGGACTAGTTCTAGTTTGGATGCCTAAATCTCCTCTCCATCCTGGTCTCAATCTTCCCCTTCTGTCCATTTCAGTCTTGGGCTTTACAGAGGAAGAGTAGGACTCTTTTAAAAGATGAAAATTCCCAATGGGGGAAAAGCACATCCACCATTTCTCTGACTTTGAAATATGAAGCCTCAAGTTTTTCCTGCTGACTTTTCAGAGTGAAGGTGAAAGGCACACCTACCTCTCCCAGGTGAGAGTCTCCGACGGGCCCTTTGGTCTCGGGATTAACAATAACCACCTTCACTCCAGGTAAAATCTAAGAATCAAAGGGAAAACAAAAAACTCAAATAAAACCTAGTGACCTGCTCTCCCTTCCTCTGGTGAGGCGGAGTGCACAAAGGCAGCAGCTGAGTCGGTGCTCACAGGATCGTCCTCCGTGGAGACCAGAGGTACAATAAGATTCATCCTCAAAAATACACCAAGGAGCCAACCAGTCTATCTTCCCTTAAACGGCAGATCAGAATGATAACAGTTAAGAATATGTAGACAGGGCAGGCTTGTGCTGCTCAGTGGTTAGAGTGTCCCCTCGAGAGCACGAAGGGTTGAGAGGTCATTCCCAGTCAAGGCACAAACCTGGGTTGCAGGTTCAATCCCCACCCTGGTCAGGGGGCATGCAGGCGGGAGCCCAATGATATGTCTCTCGCACATCAATGTGCTTCTCCCCACCCCCTTGCTCCCACCCTCCTACTCTCTCTAGAAGTCAATGGGAAAAATATCCTCAGGTGAGGATTAGCAACAACAACAATAAAATGAAACGAAACGAAAAGAATCTGTAGACCAACTGAACCATGCAATGTCCTTTCCCACAATCTCTCTCGTTCACTGGATGGTGGCACTAAACCCCTTCGAGCAGAGAGGGCAGCAGTGAGAGACTGCTCTCCAGTCCACAGAGAGTGCCAGAGTGGGGGGACCTGAGAGTGAGAGGAAGCAGCAGTTTTGCTGGAGACTAGAAAGACACTCCTCCTGAGGGAGGAGAAGGAAGAAGCAGGTGCGGGCTGAGAACGGCGCAGGCTTCTCTGGCCACCTGTGTTCTGTCTCAGACCTCCTTTTCATCTTGGGTTTCTGGATTAAGCAGTAAGTAGAGAAACACTACAATGATGATCTGGGCTCATACATCTAAAACCTCCAGGAAGGAAGAGGAAAGACCACGCCCCCTCGTCTGGGCCAGGCACGTGATACATACAGCTCCTGAGGTACCCGCTGCTAGTGAGGCGGATGAAGATCTGACAAGATGATAGGTCCACTTGGAAGTTTAAACAGAAGGGAAAACTGGAGTAAGACCTCCGTGGGGTTGGCCTATCACTGGATAGGCTGGTCAGGTTCCCTCTTCCCCCATTTTCTCCTCTGCCTTTCAGAATTACTAGAAGGGATTCTGAGGCATCAACATATCTCTTCAAAGGGATAAGAAACTTGAAAGCTTATGCTGATGTTTCATCACCCTCAGTAAATTGTTTAAAACCGATATAGACTGCTTGGGGTGGTAAGCACACAATACAACATACAGATGATGTATTGTTAAACTGTATATCTGAAACCTATATAATTTTATTAACCAATGTCACCCTAATGAATTCAATTGTAGCCCTAGCCTGTTTGGTTCAGTGGCTAGAGCGTTGGCCTGTGCACCGAAGGGTCCTGGGTTTGATTCCAGTCAAGTGCCCGCACCTCGGATGCAGGCTCCTCCTGGGCATGGGCCCTGGTCAGAGCTCGTGCAAGAGGCAACAAACCGATGTGTTTCTCTCACATCAATATTCTCTGTCTCTCCCTCGCTCTTCCACTCTCGTTAAAATCAATGGAAAATATCCTCGGGTGAGGATTAAAAAAAATAAGACAAACACTATAAAAAAACACCTGCTATAGACTGAATGTTCTCACTGACGACTGGAAATCCTAATCTCACTGTGATGGTATTAGGAGGTGACTGAGCGATGACTAAGGCAGGAGGGCAGAACCTTCACAGAGGGGATTAGCGAATTTATAAAAGAGACCCAGAGATTTCCCTCGCCTCTTCTGCCGAGTGAGGACAAGATGGCCATCTATGAACCAGAAATCCCCGGCCAGAATCTGCTGGTGCCTTGATCTTGGATTTCACAGCCTCCACTACCGTGAGAAGTTTCTGTTGTTGATAAGCCAAGTGAACTAAGATAATAATTAAATCTCTCCTTGAACATTTTAATCTAAATCTTATCCCCATAGATAATCACTCCAATATTTTTAATCTCCCATTTTGGTTTCTCTTTGAACTATAATCTTAAACCACACCCCTCCCCTATCTGCCACCTATTTTTCTCCTTGTAACATTTATAAAGATAGAACTGGCTCTTGTTCATCTCTCTACCTTGAATAAGTCAGGGGTCTTCAAACTACGGCTCGCGGGCCACATGCGGCCCGCAGAGGAGTCTGATCCGGCCCGCCAGGTTTTTTGGGCAGTGAGCGCAGCCGAGGTGTTACAGTAGGAATTAGTAGTTCATATATTCCGGCCCTCCAGCTCTCTGAGGGACCGTGATCTGGCCCCCACTTTAAAAAGTTTGAGGACCCCTGGAATAAGTGAACATTAAATTTTGCTTGTTTGTCAAGAATTAACATGTCAGATTTTTAAAAATCTATGAAAATTAAGAAAATCAAAAGAGTATTCTTCTTATGTATGTACCCATATGAATTTGAAAGTATTGGCTCAGTTGAAATTGTTGAATTATCTCCAGATTTCAGTTAAGTTTACCCTAGTTACTAATATGTTAAATGGCTTCAGGTTTCTTTAAAACGAACCACTTCTCCACACAGAACACCCTCCCCCTGGTTAACAAAGCAAATTACCTTTCCAGACTCTGAGAGGAGCAAGCTCTGGGGGGCTCCCCGCTCCACGAGACGAACCCTGTAGAAGGACAACAGTGACTGTGTGTGAGCCTTTTTTATTTTTTGTTTTTCTTTCTTTATTTCTTTCTTTTGTTGTGTATGAGCCTTTTAAAAAGTGACCGCACCATGTCAACTACCGCTACACAGTGCCTTCCCAAGACCTCTGCTTTGTCTCTCCTCCTTACGCCAGAGCAGGTTCTCAAAGTCAGCATTGCTGACATTTTGCGACAGAAAATGTTTTGTTATAATTTTTGTGAGAGGCTATCCTGTGCATTGTGGAATGTTCAGCAACATCTCAGTCCTCTACCCACTAGATGTCAGCAGCAACCCACTTGTTGTGACAACCAAAAATACCTCCAGACACTGTCAAATGTCCTCTGGAGGGCAAAATCTCCCCAGGCTGAGAACCACTAACCTGGTGAAATGCCCTCCCTGTGCAGGCGGGTGCGGGCCGGGGGCACACCAGTGAACTCAGATGTCGGGGGAAAGGGTCATGGAGCCCTCAGGCCAGGCTCACCTTGGGTTACAGTTAAAATTCCTTTCTACGTTGATGAGGGGAAGGGCTTTTACTCCTGGGGTTCAGATAAAGTATTGTTTCAACAACCCTACTCAGCCTCATTTATCTTGTCTTTTATTTTTAAACTTTCAGAGGAAGAATCTACTCATTTTGGTTTAATTTATATCAAAATACTTCACACAGTCCGGAACGAAATATTACATCTAATATTAAAGAATAGTGCAGAGACTATGAGAATTAAAGCTTTCTTCTTATCAATGTAAAAAAATTATCAGGAATTAATAATGAAAACAAATTATTTCCCTCTTTCCATGCCCCCTGGGAGATACAAAAAAAAGAATGAGGGGCCAGAACTGGTTTGGTTCAGTGGATAGAGCGTTGGTCTGTGGACTGAAAGGTCCCAGTCAAGGGCATGTACCTTGGTTGTGGGCACATCCCCAGTAGGGGGTGTGCAGGAGGCAGCTGGTCGATGTTTCTCTCTCATCGATGTTTCTAGTTCTCTATCCCTCTCCTCTCCCTTCCTCTCTGTGGAAAATCAATAAAATTAAAGGATGAGGGAAGGGGCTGGCTTTCTTGAGGCTCAGAACTTTTTATGTTTAGGAATGCTAATAAGAAACGATCGAAATAAATCCACTGTACCTGTCATGTCTTAATGACTTCAGATCTACATACACAGTAGTTGGATCGGGCCCTGAGGTTCCCTAAAGAAAAATAAATCAATGCATGGTTTATTAAAACTTAATTGCTATATTTCCATATTTCATATATTTAAATAAAAAGGTAAGTTAGGCATATACATGAAAAATGCAAACTCTACTTTGAAAGTCTCCCTCTTCAACCGGATGCAGCAGGGTGCAGCCAGTACCTAAAAGAGGCTCCTGGCCAGGCTTCGCCCTCATGTTTCCTTCTTTTCCTCCCTCGGGAGCATGGGCCAGGGGCCTGCCTTCTCACAGAGGCAAGAGAGGCACTAAAACGTTACCAGGCTAAGGCTGGTCCTCATCCCTGGACCTTAAAGCAGGGACGACTGCCTGGCCTGTGCGGCTCAGTGGTCGAGCATTGACCTGTGGACCAGGAGGTCACAGTTTGATTCCTAATCAGGGCACATGCCTGGGGTGCAGTCTTGATCCCCAGTAGAGGGCCTGCAGGAGGCAGCTAATCAATGATTCTCTCTCATCATTGATGTTTATCTCCCTCTCCCTTCTTCTCTGAAATAAATAAAAATATATTAAAAATGACATAGGTCAGCCATCTGTGGGGATTTTCAAAATTAACACGGGCCCAACCTGAAAACCCAGGGCCCACACCTGGGCTCCACGGTTAAAGCACCGGGAGGCGATTTAAAAGTCACACGACCCGGTCACCCACGTAAGCCACCTTCTTTTACTCCCACTCTTGTCCAAGCCTATATTTTCCTAATTGGTCTCCCAGTTACATAAAGTCAGACTCAGTTCTTCTCTGTTATGTACCCACCAGGAATAACATGGCAGAGTGGCCATCTAGCTGGAGAAAAGAATATAGCCTTATTGGTACTTCCTTTGCAAAAAAAGTTATAAAATACGGAGGAGACAGGAAAACAGAGGGAAGATATAAATAAAGTTCAAACAGGACTCAGAAGTCTTTTTCAGTCATGGCTGTGGACCACAGAACTACGACTGCGAGTGAACATTTGGCACATGATGCTCCGGGGCCAGAAACGGCTCCACGCGTGTAGCAACTTAGTGATTCTACAGAACGACACTGTGAAGCAACACTCTCATCTTACAGGTGAGCAACATGAGGCACAGTGAGGTGAAAATAAGAAGCCCACACTCCCAGGGCAGGCAAGAGGAACTGGGGCTCACACCAGGCAGACTGCCTTCAGCCTCTGCTCCAGAGCACACACATTCCCCCTGCATTTTTTTCCAAGCAAGATTTCATGAAAGTCACCTGTAAACATATTGCTACATTGACTCTTGATCCAAAAGTGGTGCTGACAGCTCGAGGGGACAGACCGATGTCTTTGAAGAGCTTGGAGAAGGACTGCTGGAGGGCGATACGGGGCCGCTCCTCGGCCACCACCACACACGTCCGGATGCAGGAGAGGTTGATCCCTCTGGTCTGTAAGACACCGTGCATGTGAGCTGAGGTTAGAAGACCCGTAAGAGAACTGAAGAGCTAGGGCCAGTGCTCTGTCTCTTTGGTCAGGAAAAGCCCTGGAACTGTGTATTCTCACCTCAGACAACCAGGGATATGGCAGAAGTTTCCAGAAAATGCCAAGGCTTCCACTGAAGTCATTACCCACTGATAAATGTGCTTATTCCCTATTTCTTTTCTTTCCTCTAAAAACCTTAGGTTCCTCAGCAATCGATTTCTATCCCACCCCATTTCTGTGCCTTGTTTCTCCCTACTGCAAATCGGAGATGGGACTACAGGGAAGGAGCCTAGCACCCTGGAAGCAAATCTCGTCTTTTTCCCCTTCTTAAGGTCACATTTCTCTCTTTAAGAAAACCTGTGTCTTCTCTCCTATAATATATGCAGTCAGACATATGCTCGCTGGATACACACATAAATGAGCTACCCTTTTCCCTCTGGGGCACTCCCCAATCTCTAATGTTTGGAGGTTGCAAATCCTATTGGGAAAAATCCTACTGGAGGTTAACAGTTTCCTTTCACCTTTATATAAAGTCATTTCCACTCAGCCTCCCAACCTGTTTCACCTTCTTCGCCACAAATTAAGAGTGCAGAAAGTGGAAGAGAGAAACTTCCCGAGGTTTACAGAACACCTGTCTGACTGCCGAGAGAAAACCAAGCAGGTATGCCTGAACCCCAGGCGGCACCACACTGGCCTTTCCTTACCACCGCCCAGGACTGCTGTCAGTGGCAGGTGCTTCTTACCTTCAGCACCTCCACCTGGTTTCCAAGCCCCTTGGTGCAGAGCTCCATTACTGAGTAGGAGCAGAACGTGTCCCTTATCTTGTACTGGTTGACAGTGGCTAGCCAGAGGAAAAGGTTGTTTTCTAACTCCATAGGAGGAATTAAGATGGACTGGTGTCCCGAATAGACACTGCAATAAAGGAAGGCAAGAGATGACATTAGCAAATCATCCTAGATATCTTGATGTTGTAAAATATCAATTCAACTGAGCATGAAGGACAGTGTAGGGCCATATTAGATATACAGGTCTAAGAATCAGCCTTGTTCATATGCAACTCACAACACAATAACTATAAAATAGAGCAGACTGTGATACATGTAGTAACTGAGATGTGAATAAAGGACATCAACAAGATCACAGGATAAAGAGCAAGTCATCAAACCGGGAAAGCTGGGGCTGGCGGGGCGGGAGTTTCAATGTGTAGGTGACAGTTGTACTGGGGCTTGAAAAATGAGCAGGAATTTGACAGTGGCTGGAGGAAGTGAGGATGGAGATGCGGGTATTCCAGGCAGAGGAACAGCATATGCAAATGAAATGACATGGTGTTTACGGTTGACGGAAATGGTATCCCGGTGTGAAATACTAGAGCAACGGATGCATGGGGGAGCGGGGATCAAACTGTGGGAGGGCTTAAAGATCATATGAGGGACTGAGACTTCACCCAGCAGGCAGTCACTGCAGCTTTACGTTGGGGCAAAACTACCGTTTCCCCGAAAATAAGACAGTGTCTTATATTAATTTTTTCTCCCAAAGTTGTGCTAGGTCTTATTTTCAGGGGATGTCTTATCTTTCCATGCGCTAGATCTTATTTTCGGAGGATGTCTTATTTTCGGGGAAACACGGTAGCAACATGGAGGAGGGGTTGGAGAAATGAGACACTGAAGGCTGAGAGACAGTAGCAGAGACTGCAATAGTCCAGCGGAGATGATGAGGGCTTGAACCCCGACAATGCAGCGGGATAAAAAGGAAGGAATAGTAGAGTCACGTATCATATGTATAATCTGCAGCCATGAGTCCTCAACTTCCTAAACCTGGGTATAGATCAGAATCACTGGGAGCCCAAGGGTCCTGCATTTAAAAAATACTGGAATTGGGGTCTTCACCTTTAGAGATCTAAGTAGGTCTGGGGAAGGCCCATTAATTTTTTTTTTAGGCCCCTAGGTGATTCCTGTGTATAGGAATGTTTAGGAACAACTGAGCCAAAGGACATGACATTTAAGTGGATGTGAGACATAAAGACAGAAGTTGGAGAAGATGCCCATGTTCCTAGTTTGGGCCCCAAAGTGAAGGACCCGTCCTAACAAAGACAGAGACAGAGGAGGGGCTGCTGAGTTGCACGCAGCTGAGAAGGACTCAGGGAGGTGTGCACTAGGAGGTGAAAATGCAGGCATGAGGTAAGGTTCCCTGGGCGGATAGTGGAAAGAGCGGCAATGTGCTATTCCATAAGAAACAATCTGCCAGGACGAATGTGCTACTTTCCGGCCACATGCTATTCTCCCACCTCATTATATTCCTTCCTGCCAACCAGGGGGTGCATTCTGGCTGTCAAAGCATGACATATTTCACCCAAGTATCATCCTTCTAATTGGCTCTACTTCTAACGAGAGGATTACAGGACAGAGCAGAGAGCAGGTAATAAGATCACTAACCTTTTGCATGAGGCACAAAACTACAGAAAAGAAGAAGGGACTATAAACAAAACTAAACCAGCATCAGAGATATATCAGAAGCAGAAATTCTGGAAAAGACAGCATTTTACTGACACTTCACCAAACCAAGGGAGCACAGGGAGGCTGGCAGACGTGCGCACGTTCTGCTTCGCTTTCCCATTCCTACCTGCAGAGACACCAGAGTGCAAAGCCAAGTCCACAGTAAGGGTCAAGGCAGATGGCGATCTGCCGAGAAGAATACAATTCACACTGGAGCTTGATGGCTCTACAGAGAGCATTGACTGCCGAGTGGGACATCTGGAAAGTAAGGAACATGGAACAGGATGGAACAGGCATCCCACAGGCAGCAAAACAACAGTTTTGGGAAGCTTCGCGTCCCCCAAACTCCTCAAAATGATGCATATTTTTCATTGGTTCTAAACGCTTCATCTCTCACGTAAGGTAACAAATTTCTGTTCATTAGTCAATACTGAGTTTTATGAAATACGAATCTGTAATTTCATACTGTCTTTAACTGTAACTCTTATTATCTGTTAGCTTCAGAACATGGCATAACACACATTCCTTGGGATAACTTATTCCGGAAGAGCCGATGCCCTTATTTAAATATAGCAGGGACCCTTGATCCCCCGCCTACTGTCTCTGGTATAACCAGTTGGCCAACTGAAGTGCCTGGGGTAGTGGTCATCTCTATTTTTTGCAGGCCTGGCATTTGACCAGCATCCAGTGAGAGAATGAGTATATACAGACTACTCTACCTTCACTCCTGTCAGCATGCCCGTTGTAGAGACACTAAAATCAAGATACGCCAACATCTCAGGAGTGGGTGGTTTATACAACTGAGGCAGCTTCTTCCTGGGTAAATCATCTGCAAGGAAAAGAAAACTCTGATGTTAATTACAGAAGCTGGAACATGAAAGCTGCTGCTCTTTAACTGGTTTTCTGTGGCCTTGCGATGGCCAAATTTAGCTTCTGGGATTTGGGAAAGCTTAGGTACCAAGCAGCTTATGTGTGTCACTCCTAGACATGGGCTGGAGTTAAGGGCACCTCTAGGCAACATGAATAAGCAAATCTGTACCAGGCAAATGTATTTACTAGAAGGTAAGTGAGGAACATTATAACACAGTAGTTGAAAACTAAGAAACGTACTGTTGGCATTTCAATTCCAGCTCTGCCATTTTTCAGTGATTTGACCTTGAAGTTATTTGACCTCTTTGGGTCTGTTACCTTTTGTGTGTGTGTGTGTGTGTGTGTGTGTGTGTGTGTGTGACCTTATCTCTAAAATGTATTAATACCTACCCTCATAGAATTACTAGGAAGTTAATTCACACAAAGCAATTTGAAAATAACTGACTAAAATGCTCAAAAAACTTATTATTATTATTATGTTGGTTTCAAGTTAAAGTTCATTACAGATTTAGTACATGTTATATTAGTCATGGACTGCTCTAAAAGTTGTTCTTCTGCAAATTAACATGGTAGGTTTTAAAAAAATTATAATCTAGAATTAGGAATTATTTTCCTTTCTCATTTATTTCCCCTTCCCCCCAAAATTTGCTTTATAAGTATGTCAAAACCAAGGCTATCAAGTATGTCACTGACCCAACCATGTCTCTTCAATGGCTTCACTGGCGTTCTGATTCAAGAAACAATTTTGAGCCTGACTTTAAAAAAAGACTAATAATATATTTGTATTGATTTTCAGAAAGAAGGAAGAGGTAGAGAAACATCAATGGTGAGGGAGAATCATCTATCGGTTGCCTCCTTCATGCCCTCTCCTGGGGATGGGGCCTGCCACTCAGACATATGCCCTAACCAGGAGTCGAAGAGTGACCTCCTAGTTCATGGGTCAACACTCCAGCTGGGCCTGACTCTGATTTTTAAATCTCTATATTACTGGATGCACATCACTGGTTAAACCAAAGACTTTCTCTATTACCTTCAAGCCACCTTTGTGTATGAGAGGGTCATTTATGTGCCTAAAGAAACCTTCCTAGAAAAAAAGAGAAAGAACTCTTTGTGACCCGGCCAGTGTTGCTCAGTGGTTGAATGTTCACTCATGAGCCAATAGGTCACAGATCCTATTCCTGGTGAGAACACATGTCCAGGCTGCGGGCTCAATCCCCAGCAGAGGGCATGCAGGAGGCAGCCAATGAATGATTCCCTTTCATCACTTATATTTCTACCTCCCTCTCCTCTTCCCTTCTTCTCGAAAATCAATAAAAAAAAATATAGCCGAAACCAGTTTGGCTCAGTGGATAGAGCGTCGGCCTGCGGACTGAAAGGTCCCAGGTTCGATTCCGGTCAGGGGCATGTACATTGGTTGCGGGCACATCCCAGGTAGGGGGTGTGCAAGAGGCAGCTGGTCGATGTTTCTCTCTCATCGACGTTTCTAGCTCTCTATCTCTCTCCCTTCCTCTCTGTAAAAAATCAATAAAATATATTTAAAAAAAAAATATATATATATATTCTCATGCTGTCTCACAGTCCATATCTGAGGTATTCCTGAAATGTGAATGAGTCTAATAACCACTGTACACCTATCTGCATCATTAACACCAGCACAATCTATTTGTACATTTATTATATACTTGAGGTCCAGTGCACGGGTCCCTTGGCCTGGCCTAAGGAGACTGGACGGAAACCGGCTATCTGATATCCCTTGGATTACGAAAGGGCACAGGCCAGGACAAGGGACCCCCCTGGTGCACGATCAGGGCCGGGAGGGACTGTGGAAGGGCTCCAGGGTGTGCTAGCCCATCCCGCCCAGTCCCAATCGGCCAGACCCCCGCAATCTATTGTACTGGTTGAACACTTAGCATATTAACGTGCAAGAAAAAAAAAATCTAGTTTAGCATCTGGTACACAATAACCACAAACACATGTCATCCCTGGATTTAGACGCACATAAATGTTCCTGAGGTGGATATTGTGTGGTACTTACTGAAAGCAGGTGGTGGAGGAAATGAATGGTTAAGAGGCTGGAAATGGAGCCAAATTGACTGGGAATGTCAGTGCTACCACTTAACCTCCTGTGCCTCAGTTTTCTTATTTGTAAGATGAGGACACAAATTTCATCACTTTATTAGGGTTGGTGCAAGGATAACATTAGGTTATACATGTTAGATGCCTGGCATACGATGAAGGCTCAACTAAAGATGTTAGCATTATGTGTGAAGTGCTTTACATTATGTCATTTTAATCTTTAAAACACCACAAAGTAGTTATTGCACCCCGCATTGTATAGACAGTTTTGCCAAAGTTACTGGGGGTGCTCAGAAAGGAACACAGTGTTGGGATTTAAATCCTGTCTGCCAGACTCCATACTCACCCTCTCCCCTATCCCACCATTCTCCAACTGGCCATGTGTCTTATCCCCTTCTTTAGTAGAAATGCCATCTAACATTCATGCAAAATTTATGATTTTCAAAGAACTTTCATAGCATATTGCATTCGATATTCTCACTAAGCATGTGAATCAGCTAAGGGCAGGCAGTATTTTAGAAAAGGGTAATCTCAGACAGATTATATAGAGAACTAGAGGCCCGGTACATGAAATTTGTGCACTCAGGGGGGAGGGTGTCCCTCAGTCTGGCCTGCGCCCTCTCACAATCCGGGAGCCCTTGGGAGATGTCCGACTGACAAATTCGGCCCACTCCCATTAGCAGACATTGTTAAGAGCTGCCACCGAGCGGGGAGAGGCTTTGGCCACTGTCACTGCGCTTGCCAGCTGTGAGCCCAGCTTCTGGCTGAGCAGTACTCCCTTGTGGGAATGCACTGACCCCAGGGGGCAGCTCCTGCATTAAGCATCTGCACCCTGGTGGTCAGTGCGCAACATCGCGACCGGTCATTCCACTGTTCTGTTTATTTGCATATTAGCCTTTTATTATATAGGACTAGAGGCCTGGTACACGAAATTTGTGTAGGGGGTGGGGGAACATGACCCTCACCCCAGCCTGCACCCTCTCCAATCCAGGACCGCTTGGGGGATGTCCCTCTCACAATTCGGGACTGCTGACTCCTAACTGCTTGCCTGCCTGCCTGCCTGATTGTCCCTAACCACCTCTACCTGCTGACCTGATTGCTCCTAACCACCTCTGCCTGCTGGCCTGATTGCCATCTAACTGTCCTCCCCTGCTGGCCTGATTGAGCCCTAACTGCTCCCCCCTGCCAGCCTGATCGACCCTAACTGCCCCTGCCTCGGCCCCTGTCTCTGTGGCTTTGTCTGGAAGGACATCCGGAAGATGTGCAGTCTAATTAGCATATTACCCTTTGATTAGTATAGATAATACTGAATCTTGAACTACAACCAGGTCTTCTGACTCCTAGTCCAATGTTGTTTCTACTATATCACATATAGATCCAGGCTGTATCAGATCTCAGTGTTTTACATGAACATGGTCATATCTAGCATAAAAACCTAACCAACATTTGATGATGCCAAGAGTAACAGCAACACACTGTCTTGAGGGGCCTTAGCATGTTGTGATCTGCTTCTCTGGGTCTGGCTGTTGCATTATCCAGACTTTTGGAGAGGCAAGCTAACTGGGTCTTAAGTTTTGCCTCTGTCTTATCAGCGGAAACGTGTTGAGATGTAAGAGCTACGTAAACATCTTTGGCATAAGAATCTAGGAACTTTCAGGGAGTAAATGCTCTTGTTCCTTCAACTCTGGAGAAATGTCCCCTTCACCTGTGTCAATGATGGTTGGCCAGGTTTTCACATCCACAGATGCAGCTGCCTCTCGGGACTTCAGTAACCTCATTAGCATCTGCGTGGTGAGAATGCAGGCGGCTTTGCTGACCTAGAAAACAAATGGACAGAAATAAGCACCCGGAGGCTTAGCCCACATGTAGCACCAGAGACTCTGGCTGCTGCTAAGAGCAACTTGCACACCACACTGGACAGGGCACACAGGTTTTTAAAAACACACACACAGGCCAGTGCTTCCCCTTACATCTGTCCTCTGGTGAAGTGTAACTCTTAACTGCCTCAGAATGATGGACTTGTTCACAACACCAGTTTTTGTTGTTTGTTTTTTATTTTATTTTTATATTTTTATATATATAAAAATTAAAAAAAATATATATATTTTAATACTGTCTTCACTATTCGTCATTTCTTTTTTCTTTTATTTTTATTTTAAAAAAAATATATAATTTATTGATTTTTCACAGAGAGGAAGAGAGATAGAGAGTTAGAAACATCAATGAGAGAGAATCATCGATCAGCTGCCTCTTGCACACCCCCTACTGGGGATGTGCCCGCAACCAAGGTACATGCCCTTGACCGGAATCGAACCCAGGACCTTCTAGTCCGCAGGCCAATGCTAATATCCACTGAGCCAAACCGGTCCTGGCCTTTTTTTTCTTTTTTAAAATATTTTTTATTGATTTTTCACAGAGAGGAAGAGAGAGGGATAGAGAGTTAGAAACATCGATGAGAGAGAATCATCGATCAGCTGCCTCTTGCACACCCCCTACTTGGAAGGTGTCTGCAACCAAGGTACATGCATGCCCTTGACCAGAATCGAACCTGGGACCTTTCAGTCCACAGACCGATGCTCTATCCACTGAGCCAAACCGGTTCCGGCTGTTGTTTGTTTTTTAAATACCCATGACCACAAATTATGCAGTCGAGTTTCCCACAGGTGGGGAAGTCGCACATCTGCAGTGCAACGGATAAGCCTTGCTCTGGGAAAACCACCTTCGTGATGGCGGTGTCTCCCCGGCCAGGTAAGTATACAAGTTTTGTTTACAGTAGTGATTCTCAGGGGCTATTCCATAGTTATAATGTCAGTATGGATCCGCAATCTTTTGGTTTCATGAAGACCAAAATAAAATAAAAACATGAATTCTGTAGTACTCAGGGAAGGAGTTGGTGTCTGTGACAGTTTGGTGAATGGTTGGTAAAATTAACTAGTTCTAGAACATATACTGAATTTGAGGGACCCTGTGCTCACAGAAACTGCTGCTCACCCACACAGAGAGCACAGAATGACTGACCTCCCCATACACGGTGTCACTGGGAAGAAGTGCCTTCCCCCTGCTCTGGCCTACCTTGCAGAATATGACAAGGGCATTTTGTTGAACTGCACTTTGTAATAAAATCATCTGTGGTGAACACAGTTTTTATGCTGCAGGCTCCAACTGCTGACAGAGCAGCAGTTCTTAAAGAAACAAATGTTACAATAAATTGGAATTTTGTAACTCTTTGCTTTCAAGTACATTAGGACATGATGCAATAAAGATTTATCTTATTTTCTTCAATTCTCATATTCTTCAGAAGCTTCTGTCACTTCCAGAGAAAGCTCTGGACATTTTTTTTAATACTATGCTGAATAGATACATACTGAATTTATAAAATTAACCAAAATAAAAGTGATCTAACATTGAGGAGAATTCAGTTTGGCAAATAAAATTACTTTGGTTATTGTACAGAAAAAACACACCACACAGAACATTTTTTTTAAAAAGAGGGGATCAGCCAATGAATGCATAAATAAGTAGAACAAACTGATGTTCCACTCTCTCTCCCTCAAATCAATCAATCAATGAAAATAAAAAAGGGGAAAAACAAATTTTATGGAGAGTTAGTTACTATGATTGCTTTGCCTCTTTAATGTTCATGATAAATGTACATAATTCTGTATCTCACCAATAACCGCTTTTCATACACTTCCACTGAATAACACTGGTCAATTTGGTCAGATTAAGAAAAAACAAGCTGTTTTTAGGAGAAAGATTTGAGGTTCTGACTCAATAGAACTGGAGAATTAGTAAGAATCCTTACTTGTCTAAATCTGGGTTTTTTGAGACGAGGGCAAGGTATTCTTGGTACTTACATCAACAATCATGCGGACTGTGGGCAATGTGGCAGTAAGGTTTTGAGCATGAGGAGGCCGGACAGTCACAGGAATGCACCCCGCATACAGGCAGCCGTAGAATGCAGCGATTAGCTCGATGCCTGCAAGACAAGTCAGTTGCTTAGCTGCCTGGCATCTGAGTCAGTTGCTTAGCTGCCTGGCTAGTGAACCTAAAAGGCACATCTTCCCAAACTAGTTTATTAAAGCACGTGTCAAATGGGTTATTCAGACCGTAACTTAACAGAGACACTAGCAGAAGAAAATCTTAAAACTGAGAAGGAATAAAAGGGAAAGGAGAAAGCACATAAAACAACAAGAGAGAAAGAGAGAGAGAGGGGGGGGGGGGCAAGAACCAATAAGAAGAAAGGAAGTCAGAAGTAAAGATAACTCTTGAAAGATACCCCAAAAGAAGGTGCTTTGGTTTCATTACTTGATGTCACTTAGGAGAATTAACTGCAGAAATTAGGGATGTTGAACTTGGTAAAGAAAAGAATAGGAAAAGGAAGATGAGGATCACATTGATTTTCTCTAAATCTGTAGAAGGCCAATTTAATTCCTCACACATGGCTCCATCAGCAGGTACAAGTTTCAGGGAGGTAATATGAAGAGGACTCTGCAGTATCAGGACTTAGCGGGTGGCCTCCTCAGAAAGTGCTCTGCTCCATCACCATGTCACCATAAACTGGTGATGGAGCACAGTAAGCCTGGAAAACCATAGGAAGGATTCCTTTACCAGCTGACCTTCTAAGAAATCTTATTACAATGTAAATAAAATAGCATAGTAATCACAGAGCAAAATGAAATAAGGGATATAAAAGACCAAAGAAGGCTGGATATAAAAGTGCGTTAGGTGGAAGAAGAATAAAGAAAGAGACAACTCAAATATTTCACTTAAAATTTTGAATAGTTATATGAAACTGTCATCAAATAATTCAGAGTCCCTCTTACTGTGAGGAGAAGGTTGTTGAATTAAATTAGAGCATGGGAGATGAAAACAGCAATAAAAGGACTACTACACGTCAATTATGATACAAACAACCTAAAGTCAAAAGAATTCATGGACAACTTTCTTTTGGAAACTGGGTCAAATGGTCCCATTTCTCAACATTATTACAAACAAAGCATCTCAAAAGTCAAGAAGTCTTCATTCATTCATTCACTCATTCATTATTTACCACAGTGCCAGGCACTGTGCTAGAGAATGAAAATACAAGAGTAAACACAAAAGACGCAGTCCCAGAAGAGCCGTCATGCTGCATAACTCCACTAACTCTCATCTTAGCCCGTGTGCAAGGCACTTCGGAAGTCAGGAGGTGCACAGCCTCCATGGTCATACGTGGTGGCCCCCAGTTCTTGTCCTCCTAGTTTGTAGTCTAGTAATGGATCTTAGGTGCAGTCTACCAACTCAATACTCACCAGGTGGATAGAGCAACACCACATTGTCGCCTGCATTTAGATGCCCCTTATCACCAAGAACTGATGCAATCCTCTCTGCTCGCTTGTGAAGCTGGAGGCAGCTGGCTGTGCACACAGTCGTGCCCTTTAAACAGGAGGAAATATGGATCATTAAGAAAATAAAACAGCAACAAGTATAGCCAATTTGACATTATACCTAAAAGACTTGTGCCATGGTAGATTATTTTTAGCTATTTATCGATTCCAGTGAAAATCCCTCTGGTGCCAAAGGACATTCTTTTTCAATGTCCAAAGGTACTTAGGGAATATCTACATTAACTTAAATCAAACTTATGTACTTACAGTCCTTCTTGCTTAAAATAACTTTAGAAATACACAAGGATTGTTTTCTTTTTTAATATATTTTTAATTGATTTTTCACAGAGAGGAAGGGAGAGGGATAGAGAGCTAGAAACATCGATGAGAGAGAATCATCGACTAGCTGCCTCCTGCACCCCCCCCACCGGGGATGTGCCCACAACCAATGTACATGCCCTTGACCGGAATCAAACCTGGGACCCTTCAGTCCACAGACGACGCTCTATCCACTGAGCCAAACCGGTTTCGGCCACAGGGATTGTTTTCATTTAAATGAGGAAATAAGAGTAAAGGGAAAATAAAGGGACTGCTAAGTATAATAGGATGAGGGCAGGACAATAAATGCTGACCATGTGGTCATGTGCATTTGCTGAGCCTTAAGCACATATTTGACTGAGTTTCTAACAGCAAAGATGTAAATAAAACAGTAACATTCAGTGTTACTAGCTAATAAAGATTAGCAGATTTGAAGATGGCTAACTATTACTGATCCTGCGTATAATTTCTCCCGTGGGTCTTCATAAATATCCTTATTATCAACTAGAGGCCTGGTGCACAAAATTTGTGTAGGAATGTGTGTGTGGACAACGATGGGGGTTGTCCCTCAGTCCGGCCTGCACACACTCATAATCTGGGACCCCTCAGGTAGGGTCCTTAGGCCTAGCCAGCGATCAGGGCCTATCGGGGCTTTCCTTCCCCCAGCTGCCCTGCCCCTGCTGCTGCCACTGCTTGCCATCTGCATGGCAACTGCCACTCCCTCACCCAACACCGGTCGCCTCCCTCTGTGGGCAATAGGTGTGGGGTGCAATTGCTTGGCTGGCCTGGGCCTCCCTCTGCGGGGCAATCATGGGACGATGGCGGGGCCCCCTGACCCGCCTTGGCTGGCCTGGTGCCAGTGCTTGTCACAGCGTGGTCATCCAGAAGGTCATTCTGCTGTTTAGTTATTCAGTCAATTTGCATATTATTTTTATTATTATAGATTCAAGTTTTACTAGGCTGGGCTTTTTAAACCTCCTTTCCCATGTAAAAACTTCCCACAAATAAGAAAGTGCATAAAATATGAAGCAGTCCAGCTGCCGTGGCTCAGTAGTTGAGTATCGACTTATGAACCAGGAGGTCACGGTTTGACTCCCAGTCAGAGCACATGTCAGGGCTTGACCCCTCAGTATGGGGCATGCAGGAGGCATCCAATCAATAATTCATTTTCATCAATGATGTTTCTCTTTTCTCTCTCTCTCTCTCTCTCTCTCTCTCTCTCTCTCTCTCTCTCTCTCTCTCTTTCTCTCTCTCTCTCTCTTCTACTCTGAAATCCATAAAAATATATATTAAAAAATAAAATAAAATGTGAAGCAAGCAGCTGTGTAAAAACTAGTGTGACATGAAAAAGACCACTGCCACCAACTCAAATGCACCGCCATGAGCACCCTAAGCCAGCCTTCTCTTCCCTCCATAGGAAACTACATCTTGCCTTTAAAAAAAAAAAAATTAAATCTTTAAAAAAAATATATATATTTTATTGATTTTTTACAGAGAGGAAGGGAGACAGAGAGGCAGAAACATCGATGAGAGAGAAACATCGACCAGCTACCTCTTGCACACCCCCTACCGGGGATGTGCCCGCAACCAATGTACATGCCCTTGACCAGAATCGAACCTGGGACCTTTCAGTCTGCAAACTGACGCTCTACCACTGAGCCAATCCAGCTTCTGCAAATTAATTAAATCTTTATTGTTGAAAGTATTACACATCCCACTCCCCCACATTGACCTTTCTAGCTGCCCCACCCCCTTTTTTACCACTCATGAAATTTTGATTTTTATATTGTACTGTATATACTTTTGTGCTTTGCTTCTTTCTCTCAACATTATCTTAAGAGTCATCTATGCTATAGTGCCTAGGTATAGTCTATTCATTTTTGTTGGTGTATATTTAATTGTGTGAACACACAATTTATTCATCCATTCTACTATTGACAAACACTCATCCTTCTACAATATCCTAGAGCATAAACATTTACGTCTGGCCAGGTACAGACCTAGAAATGGAAATGCTGGGTCACTGGGTATGCCCATCTTCAACTTTAATGGATAATGCCAAGTTGCTCTTTTTGTCATGCCAGTACCACATGGTCTTAGTTACTGCAACTGTATATCTCAAAAAAATCTTATGATGAAAATAAGTTTTACTGAGTAGTTTCTTTTAAAAATACTTTAAAAAAATTTTAGTAATATAAAATAGGGACATTTTCCATATAGAAAATTTGGAAAATATAAATACAAGATGTAACCACTATTAACATTTCAGTATGTATTTTCCTGGTCTTTTTCTTTTTTTAAAGAGTCTACTTTTTCAACTACCAATTGTAGGATATATACCGTATTTTTCGGACCATAAGATGCACTTTTTTCCCCCCAGAAGTGGGGGGAAAAAGTCCCTGCGTCTTATGGTCCAAATATAGCCTACACATATACTTTAAAAAAAAAGTTTTTTTACTTGCCCGGCTCTGTGTGGTCTCTGTGTGCTTGCCCGGCTCTAAAATGGTTCTAAATGCTGCTGTTTACTTTACAGGGTTGATTACATGTGTTTATGACTGTGATGTTGGGTTTTAATGCACATAAAATATTTTAGGACACTATTTGTTTCAGAATCTTTTTTTCTTCATTTCCCTTCTCTAAAAACTGGTGAGTCTTATGGTCCGGAGCGTCTTATGGTCCGAAGAATACGGTAAATATCAACCAAATATTTCTGGTGCAAATTTAGCATTTGAGTTAAAAAGTACTCTAAGTTTAAAAATACACATAGATTTAGAAGATGTCACATATACATGTTAAATTTATAATTAATAATTTTAATATTGACTACATGTTGAGTTGATAATATCTGGGAGATATTTGGTTAAATAAACATTAATTTTACCTGTTTAAAAACACACACATATCTTCAGATGAGTATTAATAAATACACGCATAGATAAATAATTGTTTTAAAAAGGCATCATATCACACTATCTTCCAGAGGCTAAGTGAAGAATGTGGGCTCTGTCCAGCTGGTGTGGCTCAGTGGACTAAGCATTATCCTATGCACAAAGAGGGTTTCTGGCTTGATCCCCAGTAAGGAGCATGCAGGAGACAATCTCTTACTGATGTTTCTATTTCTCTTTCGCTCTCCCTTTCTCTCTGAATATAATATTCTGGTGAACCATCATTAGAAAGCAATAGTTAAATACATTAAAATAATTTTCAATTTGCTTTTTATTTGTCAGCAATAAATTACTTAAGTATGTAGTACCAAAAATAACTGTTTTTAAAATGTTGATCTAGAGACCAGTTTGGCTCAGTGGATAGAGCGTCAGACTGCGGACTGAAAGGTCCCAGGTTCGATTCTGGTCAAGGGCATGTACCTTGGTTGCGGGCACAACCCCAGTTGGGGATGTGCAAGAGGCAGCTGATCGATGATTCTCTCTCATTGATGTTTCTAACTCTCAATCCCTCTCTTTTCCTCTCTGTAAAAAATCAATAAAATATATTTTAAAAAAATGTTGATCTATTGTCACTTTTTTCCTGGCAGAAATAAAAGTCAAACTGGGTAAAACATTACGTGTCATAATACATTCCATGTATCTGTAGATATATGTAATTGCACTGTTGGCCCCACCATTCCTCACAGAACTGAAAAAAGATGCCTTGATTATATCACAAGAAAAGACAGTATTAAATGACACTGCAGGGGGAGTCTCATTTTAACCTTGAATGATTGCACAATTTATCCTCATATGTCAAAACAAGGAGAAAGCAGTAACTCTTTCCTCAGAGTTGGCAACAGACATTTTCTCATGAAAGAGATCAAAAGTGCCTAAGATCCTCCCACAATCACCTGATTTGAAAAACAAATGAAGTTTTCATACCTTTGCATTTAACAGCATGAAGAGTACATGGTCAGGGGTTGCCTGGGCTCGCCACTGTAATATCTCTGCCAGAAATTGGTGCTAAAGTCACAAAGCAGAAAAAAGAATCAGGTTCAGCAACTTTATTTATTTATATTTTTAAGAATTTCTTTATTGATTAAGGTATCACATATTTGTCCTCATCCCTCTACTCCCATCCCCACCCCTGTTGTCCTTGACCACTGGTTAGGCTCATATGTATGCAGGTTCAGCAACTTTAAACAAGTTGGAGAGCACACCTTCCATCTGCCACCTGAAGTTTAACTTTTGTCCTTGACTTGTTTGTAAAATCAGCACTTCTGGAAACTTACCTTCCTCACTAAATCATTCTCTTCAATTTGCCCGAGATCCCTTCCTGCAGCTTGTGCTATGCGTTTTCCAGCAACCAGATTCCCAACCATCACAGAAGCAGGGCCTACACCTATAAGAAAAGGCAAAATTCAACCATGGAGATGGTAATTCAAGTTACATACCCCAATGTATTTTTAGACTGACCAAAACTGGGTCCAATAATTGAGCATTCTCCTAGGCACTGGGAACACAGGAGCAAACAAGACAAGAGCTTGAATTCTAGTGGGGAAAGCACACACACAAGTAAATACAAAACAAAATAGGACCACAGGAATTGGGGAGTTGGGGGGATGGAGGAGAACAGGTGGGTATTGAAGTATGGTGGCAACCATACTTAGGTAAAAAACTGTTGTTTGAATTTTAACCCTGCTATTCTGGCTTTAGCACTCGCTTACTTGCTTAAACAACAGGGTAGTTGCCTCAGCTTCCAGAATGAGACCTGGAAGCTAAGGCAATCTTCCTGGGCCTGTGGACCAGAACTATAGGAGACTGATTCCCACTGACTCAGTTGCTCCAGGAGTTGAAACTGCAGATAAACTTTAGAGATTAACCTCTCAGCTCTGCTTCTGTACTATCTGCTATCGCAAGACAGGGCCACATTCCAATGTCCAGCAGGATGTGGCTGGGAATGACCCTGCAGCCTGTTCCCAGCATTTAGAATTTAGAATTCAGAACAAAGGAAAATTCTTATGGTTTAGACCTTTAAAAGGACTGCCTACACCTGCAGCGGTGCGGGTCATGAGTGTGGCCACCTGTGTGTGGTGCTCTTGCGGCCGTCCTGGCCAGTTCAATAAATCCTTGCCTCCTTTTTTTTTTTTTTAATCAATCATCAGTCTCCAGTGGTCTTATTTTGAATCCACGGTTCGACCCCGCAACAGATATAGGGAAGTTTTTACTTGGAGGTGACGGTTGCAAATGCTCCAATCACAACACAACCCTAAAAGTGAGTTTATCAATAATGAATATCTGGTCTGGAAAGAAATCTGCTTTTACAAGAACTGTGAGTTAGTTCATCAGGAATATCAGAAGTGCTTTATTGAAAGTGAACGACAACTAGATTATAGGACATTCTGTAAGACAGCTGCCTGGACTCCTCAAAAACATCCACATCTTAAAGACAAAATATGGCTGGGAACTTGCAAATTAAAGGTCACTCAAATGCAATTAGTGACCTTCATAGAATACTGGATCTTAAAGAAATCAGCTATTACAAACAAGTGGAGAAATCTGAATATGGACTGTGTACTATTAGATGAAAGCATTATATTAAGGTTAAATTTCTTAACAGGATAATGATTGATTAGAAAAATTTTGGGAGAATGTTTTTGTTCTTTGGAAACATATTGCTGAAATATTTAGGGGTGAAGGGCCATGATTTCTGTGATCTACTTTCAAAGAATTCACTAAAAAATGGTAACAATTGGTTAATCTAGAAAATGGTAATCAGGTGACCATTATACTATTCTTTCAACTTTTCCATAAGTTTGACACTTCAAAATAAAAAGGGAGCCTGGCAGGTGTGGCTTAATGGTTAAGTGTCAACCCATGAACCAAGAGGTCACCAGTCAGGGCACATGCCCGGGTTGCAAGTTTTTTTGTTTTAATCTTTATTGTTCAGATTATTACAGTTGTTCCTCTTCCTTGACTGGAATCAAACCTGGTTTTTATAGCCCAAAGGCTGATGCTCTATTCACAGAGCCAAACTGGTTTCAGCATTGCCCTTGGCATTTTAATTAGGATGTGTCTTGGTGTGGTCCTCTTTGGATTTCTTTTGTTTGGAGTTCTGTGCGCTTCCTGGACTTGTAAGTCTGTCTTTCACCAGCTGGGGAAGTTTTCTGTCATTATTTCTTCAAATAGGTTTTCAGTATCTTGCTCTCTCTCTCCTTCTGGCACCTCCATAAGCTTGAAGTTGTCCCAGAGGCTTCTTACACTATCTTCATATTTTTGGATTCTTTTTTCTTTTCCAATTGAGTGTGTTGTGTGTTTTTTTTGTTTGTTTGTTTTTGCTTCTTTGTATTTCAAACCTTTGACTTGATTCTTGAAATCCTCTAGTCTGATGTTGGATCTCTGTATATTATTTTTAATTTCAGTTAGTACATGCTTAATTTCTAGTTGGTCCTTTTTCATATCGAGGGCCTCACTAAATTTATCGGCCTTTTCTAAAAAATTATTGAAAAATCTTGTAACTGTGGTTTTGAACTCTATATTCAATAGTTTGCTTTCCTCCATTTCTTCCATTTGTGACCTGTTTCTTTGTCTCTGTATTTTGGCTGCTTCCCTAAGTTGATAGAGTGGCTTTGTGTGCTAGGTGTTCTATAGGGTACAGTGGCTCAGTCTCCCCAGTTACCTGAGGTGGACACTCTTGGTGCACCCCTTTGTGGGCTGTGTGCACAGTCTTGTTGTAGTTAAGCCTTGATTGTTGTTGGTTAACTGGGAGGAATTGACCACCAGGTCAATTGGCTGTGAGGATCAGTTGTGATTATGATGAGAGAACTTCTGTGCTGGAGACACCCTTATGGGGCAAGACTTGCTTCAGTGAGGCTTTGATGCTGAGTCTGCCCCCTGAGTGTGTCCCTTATGGGTCTGAGGAGTTGTAATCTGTCTGGTCCCACTCTGACCACTGGGTACACTGGCTCTTGGATCTCCAAGGAGGTGCTAATTTAGCCTCTGCCTGAGGCCACCCAGCAGGAGCTATGGAGAGATCTGCAGATTCCTCTTCTTTGTTTGGGGTTTGGAGGTGCTCAGCTGAGGCCCAGCTGTGAAGCAATGCAAGCTGCTGTGGGGCTTTGGGCCTTCTTTTGGATGTTCTGGGTCTTTCTGACTCAGCTGCAGTTTGATGGGTAAGTTTATATTTCAAAGGACCAGGACATTCATATGCAAAAGCCTCTGCACACATCTTAGATGGGGCGGGGTCTCAGAGTGGAGCAAACAGCAATGGCTTCCCATCAACCCTGCCATAAGAGGCCCTCAGGTCTCAGCGTCCTGTGGTATTCGCTGTGAGCACCTGTGAGAGAAAGCTGCCCTCGAGTTCCACCCGCTGCCAGACAGTCCAGTTTCTCCCCTTATGAGTTTGGGTCCCTAGTCTTGCCCAGAACTGGAGTTTAGGCGAGGTTGCAGAGAAAAAGGAACCCTTGTGCACTGCTGGTGGGAATGCAGACTGGTGCAGCCACTGTGGAGAACAGTATGGAGCTTCCTCAAAAAACTGAAAATGGAATTCCCATTTGACCCAGTAATCCCACTCCTAGGAATATATCCTAAGAAACCAGAAACACCAATCAGAAAGGACAGATGCACTCCTATGTTCATAGCAGCATAATTTACAATAGCTAGGATTTGGAAACAGCCTAGGTGCCCGTCAGCAGATGATTGGATAAAAAACTATGGTACATCTACACAATGGAATACTATGCTGCCATAAAAAAGAAGGAATTCTTATCATTTGCAGCAACCTGGATGGAATTGGAGAACATTATGCTGAGTGAAATAAGCCAGTCAATGAAAGAAAAACACAACATGATCTCACTCATTTATGGAAAATGAAGAACATTATAAACTGATGAACAAAAAGATAGATACAGCCGGGACCGGTTTGGCTCAATGGATAGAGCGTTGGCTTGGGGACTGAAGGGTCCCAGGTTCGATTCCGGTCAAGGGCATGTACCTTGGTTGCGGGCATATCCCCAGTAGGGGGTGTGCAAGAGGCAGCTGATCGATGACACTCTCTCATCGATGTTTCTAACTCTATCTCTCTCCCTTCCTCTCTGTATAAAATCAATAAAAAATATATTAAAAAAAAGATAGATACAGAGATACTAAAGCAACAAACAGACTGTCAAATTACAGTGGGGAAGGTAGGGAGATATGGGGGAGATAAGAGATCAACCAAAGGACTTGTATGCATGCATATAAGCATAACCATGAACGAAAAATTCTGGGGAGGGAGGGCATGTATGGGAGTGTGTGTGTGTAGGGGAGCAATGGTAAGATATGTACACATATAATACCTTAATAAAAAAATGAAAAAAATAAAAATAAACGTTACCAGAAAAAAAAGAAAGAAAAAAAAAAATAGAAAAAGAAAAAGAACGGCAGTGTAATTTAGCAATTCAGAGCATGGATTTTAGAGTCATTTAGTGTGACTCTCACCTCTACCACTAACTATCTGACTTTGGGCACAATTCTCTCTTTTTAAAAAAATATTTTATTAATTTTTTACAGAGAAAAAGGGAGAGGGAGAGAGAGTGAAAAACACTGATGAGAGAGAAACATCAATCAGCTGCCTCCTGCATGCCCCCTACTGGGGATGTGCCCACAACCAAGGTACATGCCCTTGACCAGAATTCGAACCTGGGACCTTTCAGTCCAAAGGCCGATGCTCTATCCACCGAGCCAAACCAGTTTTGGCTGTAGGACTTTATTCTGCTTCCCAAATGGGATTCTGAGCATCTTTGACTCCGTACCTCATATCCCGGGGAAAGGAGGAACACTACTTAGAATTACTTAGGAGAGGGAGTCGACAGAGAACAGGAGAAGCCCGTTCTGTAGGGTCTCAGGCCTCCCTGCTTTCAGTCTGATGATAATTATTATCATTATTAACTTTTGTAAAGTCAAATTTTAGAGAAAGAATCATGTGGGGAAAAACTCAGTTTCTTGAATTTACAATCTTAACATTACATCTTTAAAGCCAGTGCATTACCTGGTTGCTTTTGCCGGGGTTTTGGCAAATTGGTCACGCATGTATGTGGGCACATGAGGATATTGCACGGATGTAGAGATCCTTCCAGGAAGAGCTGTTTTGTTTGAGAGAGATGAATTCCTCCTAGTGGAGTTTTTGGCAATGTATTGGCAGGCACCAGAGCAAGACAATAAACCCCCACTTGATGAATGCTATCGATTGCCTAGAAAAAGAGAAATATTCCGTGAGATTAATTTTACTACATTTAACATCTTCCTAACACAATTCATTATTCTATTCTAGAGTTTTCTTTCTTTATACATTCTATTCTAGCTCTGGAATCTGGTAGGTTATTAAGATCCCATATGTCTGAAGTTATCTAATCCATACAGTGATGGCAGAAGTCAAAAGAAGGGTAAGACACTATCTAAATTGGTGAACACTGACTTGGAAGCCTCAATATGTTGACTTATAATGTGAAACACCTACTAATGTGTTTTAAACAACTTAAAGGGGCAAAAGAATAAATTTAAAAATCAATACTCCTCTAACTTTCCTCCTTATCAATAGCAGAAAGTGGAAGGTGGAAAGTCTGGCAGAGTTCCTAAGTCTCTGGTATCTCAGAGTTAGAGTGTGAACAAATGTATTATTGCATGTAGCCTTGATTTCATACTGAATACACCATTTGGTAAGGTCTCTACTGACCACCTTCCTTAGGTATTTACTTTATTACACACTAGAGGCCTGGTGCATGAAAATTCAAGCACTGGAGGGGGGGTTCCTCAGCCTGGCCTGCCCCCCTCACAGTCCAGGAGCCCTCAGGGGTGGGAGGCCACCTGGTAATCAGGGGAAGGCGACACCTCCATCACACTCTGCTGATGTCACTGTCGGCAGCGCAAGCCTCAGCCAGCCCTGGTTAACTGAGCCTCGGGCAACCCAGGGCAGCTGACATCCAAGGCTTGCCTGGGCCTCGAGCCAGCCCTGGGTAGCTGGGAGGCTGAGGGGACCTGGGGACTCTGGAGGCAGGCACACAGAGCTGAGGGGATTGGGCACTGCCATCTTTGAGGTGTGGCAGTCAATTATCATATTCCCTCTTTATTGGCTGTGGGCTACCATCTTTGCAATGGTGTGAGGGTCAATTAGCATATTCCCTCTTTATTAGGTAGGACAGACTTGGAATTCACCATCACTGGCTCTACCTACCCAAACATATGGTATCCTTACTATTCTTCTACAAATCCAAGTGCTCCAAGAGAAGCTACCGAGACTGCAAAAATAATGCCCTTTTATTTCATGTGCAAATCAGACACCAAGTGACTTTTATAAGAATTTGAATTAGCATAGCATTTAAAAACTATAGTTGCTTTCCAAAAAAGTAACAAATATCTTGGGGAATTTCAGTTTCCTGTGACAGGAAAAAACATAATTCACTACAAGATTCAACCATTATGCCCCAAAGTTCATTGAGAATTAAATAAGCAGTTTATTTGTTTGAAAATATGAACAGTATAAAAATACTCTCTTTGCAAGTCTGGATTTTAGCCACCTTTCAGAGATCAGCCCAGGCCCACCTCGTCACAGTCTCTTCTGTCTCGTTTATCTTCAGCAGATTCTCTTTCTTTTCTCTGATTTCCCACTACAAATAGCTTATGCTATGCCAGTCACGGACCCCGCGGATAGGAAAAAATCTTAAAAGTCATCTAGCCTTATCATTCATCCCATGATTGCATCATTTCTACAACGTTACCACTAAACTGGCAATTAATAATTCCAAATAGCCCAAGCAGAATACCCGTATTTTCCGGCGTATAAGACGACCCTCTAATTTTACAGTTAAAACACAGGTGTAGACCTATATTCGCTGTATAAGACTACTCCCCACTTCAAAGAAAAGACTTACTTTGCCGTCAAGATCTGCAGGTAATTTTTGTGCAATTTTGGTCTTTTGCCCCCGATTTTCGGTTGACTTTTTTTCGTTTCAAAGGTCGTCTTATACGCCGGAAAATATGGTAGTTATGGATATTGGGAACACTCCCAATGGACACTTAGCATATTAGGCTTTTATTATCCTCTATAAAAATATAGGATAATTGTGTCCAGGCGGCTGTTCAACCAATCAAAGTATAATACGTTAATGATATGCTAAGACTGCTCAACTGCTTACTATGATGTGCACTGACCAGCAGGGGGCAGACGCTCTGACTGGTAGGGGAGCTTGCTGCTGGGGTCTGGCTGATCAGGACTGAGTAAAATGGGCTGGACATGCCCTGGAGCCCTCCTGCAGCCCCTCCCCGGCTGGCTGACCGGTTGTGCACCGGTGGGGTCCCTCAGCCTGTCCTGTGACCTCTTGCAATCTGGGACCCTTGGGGGATGCCGGAGAGCCGGTTACGGCCCGATCCCACAGGCCAGGCTGAGGGACCCCACTGGTGCACGAATTCGTGCACTGGGCTTCTAGTATGGTGATAAGTAGAAAAATAAAATCAAGTGAGGGGACAGAGAGTAAAAGGGGATGTTATTTAGTCATCATTTACTGAATGCAGGTACTAAATGCTTCAATTAATTCCTAATTACTATCAATTAATCCTCCTGATAGCTCTGTAACAAAAATAACTTTATTCCCACTGTATAGATTAGGAAATAGGCTCCCTGAGGTTAAGTAACTTGCATAAAGGCATGTGTGTGGTGGGGAGTGAAGCTGTGATTCAAATAAAGACAAGAAGCTCCTTTCATCACTCTAGCCTGCCTCCTCTGGAAACATATCCCTTATACTGAACCCACACCTTTCCTTTCCCTAGTGGCTTATGTCACCCAGCTCTCTAACTTCACAATAAAGCCCCTGCAAAGTAAGAACAACACCTATATTTTCTTGGACCCCTTGCACTCTATGCACCACTTTTAACATGTAATAAGACTGTAGCTGTTGACAAGTGGATTGATGACTGTCGAAGATGTGTTCCACAGATGGACAGTTAAAATTTTTATGGGTTGTAAACACTCTGGAACAAAAAAAGTGAAAGAATTTGCTGAGGCAAGTTAGTTCAATTCTTTTTGGCAACCTGAGCAGAAAAATACTATATGGTCTACAAAAAGAAAAGGTATTAACTATATAGTTTTGTTAATAGCACTTAAAATAGTATATATAAGTAGTGACTGGCAAGAAAAAAATTAGGTAATATAACTAGTCCACCAAAGGAAATGTTAAGCACTGGGTACCGCCGCCTTTGACAACAAAGCTCACCTGCAACACGCGGCTCATCCACTGGAAACTGTCTTCCTCGGAAGCATCGGGTCTTTGTTCCGCAACCACGACAATGCGCTCATCATAAAACACAGACACAGAAAACACAGCAATTCTAAGAGAGACAGATCACACACATCAGGACTCCCTTCACAACCAATTTGGTTTACGTTGCTCAGTTGGAATACAGAGAAGGGACATCCCCACCACACTAGCCAAGAATGAGTAGTTTAGAAAAGAACATGTACAATCATTACTATCAAAACGAGGACTCAAAAACATGTATTAAGCACCACTGTCGTGAATGTTGGGACACAGTGATAAATAAGATAAAGGCCCTATCTTCATGGAGTGTGCATATCAGAGACAGAACAAACAAATATAAAATAATGTCATGTAATACACACTAGGAGAAAACTAAGGCAGGGTGAAGGGGGGGGGGGTAGTGGTGTACTAGGAAGGCAGGTGGGTGGGGAGTGCTTTCCTGAGGTGCGGACACTGGAGCAGAGACCTGAATGAAGTGAGGATGCGAGCCAGGCGGAGATCTGGAGGAAGAGGTTTCCTGGCAGAAGGAACGGAAAGCGAAAAGGTTCTGAGGTAGGAACGAGCTTGGCAGGTTTGAAGAACAGCAAGAAGGCCAGTGTGCCTGAAGCAGAGTGGTGAAGCAGAGAGCGGTGGGGAGAGGTCAGAGCCGGGCCAGGGCAGTCACAGAGGACCTGGTAGGCCAGGGGGAGGGGTGTTCTAAGAGAGGTCTCCGCTCAAACGTCCCCTTACTAGCAAGGCATTCCCAGACGACCTTAGAGAAACTGGCATGCATAGTCCCCCCTATGTTTTTTCTGCATCATCTCATACGTTATCTATCTACATATTTCCCTATGTAGTTTCCATCTGTTTCCCCCAATGAGAATGTGGCTTCACAAGGCCTGTTTTGTTCAATAATCACACTGTGATCATCAAGAACAGTGGCATACAGTGGGCACCCAATAAATAGTTGTAGAATGAATGCATGAAATAATTCAAAGTCATTGGAGAACCAAATATACCCACACACTTGACTGTCTCCCTTCCTTCCTTTCATCCTCACATATTTATTGAACACCCACTGTGTGCCAGGTGCTCTGCTGAGTGCTATGGGTATAGCTGTGACTAAAGTCAGATCTAGTGTCCCATGGAGTTTACATCTCATAGGAAGCTACACAATGAAAACTACACATTTCAAGAATTGGTTCTCTATTGGTTTAATTCATTTTCCTTCTTCAAATACTAAAGGGATTCCAAGATTGTTTCAAAACATATATCCATGATTGTAAACTACCAAACAGGACATCCATTATTCAAATATGTATCAAAAATCTTTTCTTCAATTAATAAGCAAAGAAAAAAAAGATATCTGCCGAAGTCGGTTTGGCTCAGTGGTAGAGCATCAGTATGCGGACTGAAAGGTCCCAGGTTCGATTCCTGTCAAGGGCATGTACATTAGTTGCGGGCACATCCCTGGTAGGGGGTGTGCAAGAGGCAGCTGGTCGACGTTTCTCTCTCATTGGCGTTTCTAGCTCTCTATCTCTCTGCCTTCCTACTCTCCATGAAATATCAATAAAATATATTTTAAAAAAAAGAAAAAAAAAAGAAAAAAAGATATCTAATTGACTTCACCCATGGAATTTGAAATCAGTACTTATGTGCTATGCAAATCTCTGTGTTAAAGTGATATAATAAATTAGAATGAGCAAGAGAAACAATTCTTAGATTTAAAACTCCTACGAAGTAGCATCTTTCTCAATTAGACTGAATAGGAAGGACTATTTCTGTATTGAAGGAATATAGGAAGTTCAACATTTTAGAATCTCCTCAGTATCAACAGTGATAATTAAAAACTGAAACTCAAGGATATCATTAAGTCTTATTTCTCTCAATTACAGCCAAAAAAACACATTTTAAGACAAATATTCAAAGTTTGGTTTCTGCTAGGTTTAACCCAAAATAACCCAATCATTTGAAAGAGAATCTACAGAATACAATCAAATCACCTGATATATTTAGATTCTACAGAAAATGTTAACATTTGAACTCTGCACTACTCACCTTCCTCTATAAACAGTCTTTATTGATTCCACAGCCAATCCTGTAGCAACAATGTCATCAGCATTATGTCTGCGACCACTAACCATGAGTAATCCGTCCATTTTTCCAACCACAAACACCAAGCTGCCCTGAAAGATAAAGATTTTCCTTGATTTCCGTAATTTAAATAGTAAAACAAACATTTTACTTCTGCCTTGAAATAAATCTCATAAAAATATAAGGAACAATATTAAACTTTATGGATTCTGAGAAAATATTTCACATCACAGCATCTTGAAAATCAGTGGGGGAAAACCTGTGGTATCTTACAATTAAAGGAGTCTTATAGTGTATAAGAAGGGAATCTATTCATATTTATTCTTAGGGAGGAATTTTATAAGAAAGCAACTAGAATGGCATACAAGCATAGTTTATTTTTCCAGCTGTGATTATGTATTAATTTATTTTCCGTAACTATTCATGGGATGGATGCAGAGGAGAAAAATGTTGTCAATTAATACTGGAATTAGGAAGAGATAAAAATAGTTTTGATGTTAGAATGACTATTTCTAGCTTTTTCCATCTGACAAGATCACAAACAGGCTAATACAGTCAAAGGACGACTGTAGGAGTCTTTCCTCTCCGGTAAGATAACAGAGCTGCAGGAAAGTATGCTGCCAAAGCCCTAAAAGCACCATTGCATAAATAATTTTACTTATTATTTATTATCAATAATTACCCCAGATCCACTTGCAATAAATTAACTTTTTCCATTCACTGCAGAATTCATAAATTCCTTGTACCATCTTTATATATTCACTCTCTAGCGTCATCTCCATGTGAACGTCACTTACTGGCTGAGTGGGCACAATGCAGTGCCATACACTGACCGGGCTATGTAAGTATGACATAACCTCCAGTATCAAGCTACTGGTCCGTCTCAGAAAACAGAAGACAACCATTTGCTACGGTGGAAATAAAGAAAAGGAGACAGGCACTGGTCTCCCACATCCGTGTCTTCATTTCTTTCACACGAACAGAATTTTTAGCTGGGCATGGCTGACCAAAACAAGGATGGCACTTCATCCTCTCTTGCAGTGAGGTGGGCCACCTTACTAGTTCAGAACAATGGGATATAAGTGGAAGTGTTGCTCAGCAGCTTCAGGGAGTCTTCCTTACAAGAGAACAGGACTGCACCCTGCCCTCTGTCCTGTTTCCTGGAATGCAGATGTGATGGCTGGAGCTCCATCTTGGATGTCAACCGTGGAGTGATAAGCTACTATTACAAGGAGCTAGGTCCTTAAGAGCTACGTGGTGCTGAGAGAGGAAGTCAAAACAATAGATGCAGACTTCTCTTTCTAGAGAACGAATCTCTTAGAGGTATTCTCTTGCTCCCACCATTCTCCATGAACACTGGGAAAGAACTATAATAAAATTATATCTCTTCTTATGTAACTTAAACCTTCAAGAAGAGAAGTGAGAGTAATGAGGTAATTAGAGACCGATGGAGGTATATGGGCCTAACTGTAATAATGAATAACTATTACTTATAAAGCAAAATCGAAACTCTCATTCTGTCATGCAAAGCCTTCCTTGCGGGCTCATGAAACTAGCTATAAGCTCTTTGAAAACAAGGTTTGTGTCCTAATTGTCTCTATAAACCCAGTGACTATAAATACCATTTGCTGGAAAACAAATTGCTTTCATTCAAAGAATTTACTATTATACAAATTGTATTGCTGATAATCTGTATGAAAATGCTTTGTGCGCTATTATTGTTTCCCTTTGCTATTAAAGGAAACAGCACACTTATAACTTATTGACACATATTAATCAAATCAAAAAAGGGTAGCAAGAGTAAGTAAAAAGAGTTTTGAAAATAAAAAAAATGTCTCAATTTGGAGGAGTCAATGACCTTGGGTAACAGAAACAATGAACTTTGATGCATTTATTACATTCTTATAGGAAATGCTTTAAATGTAAGTTAAGCAACCCTATAACACTCTTAATCAGAATTTGTTCTGTTCTATGGATCAAAGTCCAAATATTTGAATAAGATGCATCAAAACAAACATGAAAACATCACTTACGGGCCCTACAAACCCCAGCAATCCTGACCGGATAAATGGCACATCCCCAACAGGAGAGCCTGCAGAATTCACTGGAATTACCTAAAACACAGAAAAAAAGAAAGTGACAATCTGAGACTTTAATTTAAAAATGTATTTAAGAACCTCTCATGCATGTGGGATCTCTGACTTTCATGTATGAAGGGTTCTCATACTTGTGCATATATAAGTTTGGTATTTTCTCTTGCAAAAAACAGATATTTGTTTTAATTGATTTGTGAGAGAAAGAGGGGAAGAGAAAGAAGGAGGGAGGGAAGGAGGAAAACAGAGAGAGGGGAGGGAAGGGCACAGATAGACATCGATTTGTTGTTCCACTTACTTATGCATTCATTGGTTGCTTCTTGTATGTACTCTGACCGGGGATTGAACCTGCAACCCTGGCATACAGGGAAAATATACTAACAGAACTACTTGAGCTACCCAGCTGTTTTGGTTTTTCAAGTCTTTAAGTATTGTTGTTGTTTTATATATATATATTTCTTTAATTGATTTTTTACAAAGGAAGAGAGAGGGACAGAGAGCTAGAAACATCGATGAGAGAGATACACCAATCAGCTGCCCCCTTACTGGGTATGGGCCCACAACCAAGGTGGTTTTTTTAAGTTACATACAACAAGTAACACATATTAAAATTATGTAAATAGTGAATACAGGAATTCTACCCCCCTTAAGAGATAACAAACATTTACAAATTGTTGTTTATCTCTCTGTATTTTTTTGTAGTTAGGATTAAAATATATATATATATATATATATATATATATATATATATATATATATATTATATATTTTTTTTGTTATTTTACAGAGAGGAGGAAGGGAGAGAGATAGAGAGCTAGAAACGTCAATGAGAGAGAAACATCTACCAGCTGCCTCCTGCACACCCCCTACTGGGGATGTGCCTGCAACCAATGTACATGCCCTTGACCAGAATCGAACCTGGGACCCTACAGTCCGCAGACCGACGCTCTGCCACTGAGCCAAACCGGTTTCGGCTTTTAGTTAGGATTTTTATTCTACTTCACTATCATTAAATTTATATTGCAGATTTCAAAATTTCTTCATTACTATGGACCTAGAAGTTTAGTATTATATCTAAGAATTTTGATCAGGCAGTTGTCCTTGTAGGAAAGGCAATATAACCAAATATTACCAGTAACTCCTAACACTGCTTGAGGATCTTGTTTATATAAGACAAATGCAACAGAAAAATTCAGGTATTGAAAAATATATGTAGCCCTGGCCAGTGTTCTCAGTGGTTAGAACATTGGCCCATGCATCAAAGGGTCATGGGTTCAATTTCCCACCAAGGCATACCTGAGTTGCAAGTCCAATCTCCAGCCATGTTCCCCAGGTATGTTCAGGAGGTAACCAATTGATGTGTCTCTCTCACATCAATGTCTTGCTCTCTCTTTTTCCCCTCCCTCCCTCTATCCTTCCTTCCGTTCTCTCTAAAAATCATGGGGGGAAAATATCCTCAGGTGAGGACTAACAACAAAAAAAGAAATATATATAGTCCAAGCACTTTTAAAATAAAAGGAATAAGGTAAGATTTAAATTAGTGACGTATATATACTCAGCAGAGGTAATTAGTCACCTAAAGAGTTTATGAATGTCTACTCCGATCAAGGTGACTTGGTCTTAACTTTTGACGGCTGGGCAAGAATATAGCAGTAACAATGACGGCGTTGGTAATAACTGACAGACATTTAATGATTTATATTATACCATTTTAGGCCGTGTAAATACAAATGATGGTGAGCTCAGGAATTCTAAACTTTTTCCAATACCACACCAGTTACATAGATACCACTTTCCCACCAGTTACATCTATCACTGTCTATATTAATTATATGCACTGATTTTCAAATGGGATGGTAGATAGATGTGCCCTGCCATATTGAGAACCAGTAGTCTAAATTATAAGAAAAAGGAAGCTTGAAGAACTGAAATTGTTTTTTTTTTTTTAAATATATAAGATCTGTTTAGTATGAAAGGGGTGTGGCCCATAAACCGGAGTTCTCTGTTCTCTAAAAGGTACCTGGAGATAGATTAATCCCAATGTTAAGATATAGACAATTAACTATGCCTGTTCTGATTTCTAGGCTCACCAGGCACATTTTCATTACAATTTGATTTCACATGCAGAACTGCCTGCAGGAAAGCAATGTGGTAGTTACACTGGCATATGAGCTATCTGAGGAGCTCTGGTTGTTGCTCTGATGTACCCAAAACCTCTAGAATGGTGCCAGGCACACAGAAGGTGCTCGATAAATACTTGTCTCACGGAAAGTTTGAACGACAGGAGCAATCTGCCCTGTGACAGAACAGGCCTTCATTTTTCTTAGCGACCTGGCATTCTGGTTTACATCTGTCTTCAGGAGCTCAGTTCACTTGAGACTACACTTCAGAGATGGATTCTCACTATATACTGTTAAAATTAAACATTTGGGCTTATAAAGTTCAAACTATGGCATATTCACCAAAGGAATTTTTGTAAGGCCTCTTATTTATTAACTTACTAATTTAACAGTAGCGCTTCCTGTGTGCCAGGTGCTGCGCAAAGCACCTTATAAACATTAACTCACTTAGTTCTCACAACAGTCCTATGACGTAGTTACTACAATTACTCATTTTAAATATAAAGAAATTGGGGCACAAAGAGGTTAAGCAACTCACCTAAAATCAGCTAGTGAGTGGCAGGGTTGGGATTCTAACTAGGGCAGTCCAGCTCTAGAGCATATACTTTCAACCCACTATCTTATGCTACTTCCCATGAACCGAGTCACCTGCCCTAGTGACACCCTCAAAACATTTTCCTGGCAACATTTTAATATCATGTACCTCAAAGGTATTTTTGGTCACACCAGCAAGCCCAAAGTACATCATGCCGCCTGTTCTGGAGCTGACACAGATCTCTCCGATTTCGTCCGTTCTGCAGAGCTGGGGAGGTCCATCAGGTCTCACGATGCACATCATCCCTAGTGCACAGAAAACACAGTCAGGAAGCCGAGATCCTGGAAAACCTATGCTTCATCGTTGTGAACCCAGGGAAGTCTTGTATTTAGTGAGTGACATTAAGGAAGAATAACCAAAGAAAAATGTTAAAAATAGACCTGAAACTATCGAATACATAGGTATGTTTGAAATTTCCATCTTTGAATAGCATCTACTCTGATGAGAGACAAATACTTTTTTTAAATTCAGCAAAACAGCAGCAGCAACAAAACATGTAACAGATGCAGACTGAAGTTTTTAAAGAAGGTGACATTAAAAATGACTGCAAAGTACAAAGAAACAGGTAAATTAAACACAACACACACCCACCCCCACCCCCGCAGATCAAACTCAAACACTCATGGAAGAGTGTGTTCTTCCTGCCAGTCCCAATGGCTTGGCAATTATGGTGAAAACCAACTTGAATATCATTCAAACTTTGCTTTCCATGTGAACAAATGTAATCAGCACCCACAATTAAATCACAGGACACTGCTGGAAGGTAAGTATAATCGGAATTACTTAACTGTTAGAAAGGCTTTGAGAAACTAAGTGACTAAATTTTGAGTTCCTGGTTTTGGATCCTATATTTCATCAGCTTCTGCTATCTCTAATGAAAAATCTTTGTGAAAAAAGCAAACGATACTCCTGAGAACTCACCACCAGGCATGACATGCCCCACATCCTGGACTGTTAGTGCTGAATTTTTATCTTCAGTATTGACCCGTATTACCCCATAGCTCAATCCATTCATTGAGAGAATGGCTCTTCCCGGCAAAGGGGCCCCTGGAACTCCAGGCCTGAAAACAAAATAAACTCATCAAATTTGGCAAATGAAATAATGGAGAAAAATATGAGTATGTAGGAAAGCAAATTTCCTCTAGCTAACACACACACACTCTCTTTTAACAAGCATGGTCAATTTTCATTCAAGTAGAAAAAGTACATTTAATCAGATGTTAAGACTATACTGGTCTTGGGTATACCATAAATGTACTTTGCACACTTAAGCCACAATCAAGAATAGCCTATTTCTAGGCTAAGCTACTAACTGAGGATTCTGAAGAGCAAAACAACCCAGAAAAAGATCTAATTCAAAAAAATGAGATGAGAATAAATTTTCAGTTTACCAGTTATATTTAGTGCAAGAATAGAAAGAATAAATGACATGCTTCAGACTGCTTTACAAAGTCATTTTCACTCTTAGACTTATGAAGCAGAAAATCAGACAATGCCCTTGTCACTGCCTGGTAATTCCGGACATCTGATCAAAGCAGTGATGTACAGTAAGAGCAGCGGTGTCCTGGACCATACCTGCGGATTGCGACAGTCATGGCTTCAGCAGAAGTAGCGCACGGACAGATGGCCTCAGGTTTCAGGCCGTGACTCTGGAACAGACTCAGGAAGGCATCGCAGGACGACACAGACCCTAAAGGAGATGGAACAGATCAACTGGAAAGCTGACACTGTGGTTTTTACTACTGTAGAAAACTGGTAAAGAGTGGAAAGCCAATATGTTTTTTTCTCATGAGAACTCTTACTGTACACCATTAATTCCATCCAAACATTTTACTGTGCCTGGGAAATGGCTGATACATATCAAGGACAAATGAATGTTTATCCAGACCATAAAAGATCACTGACATGATTTAAAGCTATAGCTTGTAATAAAGCTGCTCCCAATTAATAGCAGAAATGCAGAGGGCACTGTGGTCAGTCTGGAACTGAGCAACGCATCCTGAATAACTATGTTAGCCCGTGCAGAACTAACACTCTGGCTTAGTTCCACCCTCTTCTACGTGATGTTCTCTGACTTATTTCTTATTAAGGTCAATCCCATGTCTGTTTTATTATACAGGATGATTAATGTGACTATTGACAAAAATCCAGTATGACAAAGAACATAGTATCTAACATTTTACCTGGTTCTACTGTATGGGAGCTCAGGATGTTGTGTTTGTGGGAAAAGCAGGTAACATTGGGGATCTCTAAAAGCTTTTGCAAACTTGATTTGCAGCTAGGGGGAATTTACATAGAGTTTAGTCACTTGGTTACATCAGTTATTTTCTTATCATTCCTTTTAGTTACATGATAGAAAAAGGATATAAATAAGTGAGCAAGAGGGAGTGAATTTAAAAGCATATGGAACCGCCTAGTTAGTGTAGCTCAGTGGTGGAGCATCAACCCATGAACTAGGGGGTCACAGTTTGATTCCTGGTCAGGGTATATGCCCGGGGTTACAGGCTCGATCCTTAGTAGGGGGTGTGCAGGAGATAGATGATCAATGATTCTCTCTCATCTTTAATGTTTCTCTCTCCCTCTCCTTTCTTCTCTGAAATTAATAAAACACATATTTTAAAAAATATATTTTTACCCATCCATCAAATGAACAGATAAAATGTGGTATATACAATGGAATTATTATATGGCAATAAAAAGAAGTAGAGTATGAACACATACTACAATGTGGATGAACCTTGAAAACACTATGGTTAAGTGGAAAAAGCCTGTCCCAAAGGGCAATATAGTATAATTGCCTTTATAAGAAATGTCCAGAATAGGTAACTCTATGGGGACAGAAGTAGAAGTGGCTGAGCAGTAGGGGACAGTGGAGGAGAAATGAAGAGTGAGTACTAATGGGTATGAGGTATCTTTTGGGGGTGATGATGGTCTAAACTAGGGGTGTCGAACTCAATCAGAGAAGGGGCCAAAATCTAAAATCCAGCCTAAATCGCGGGCCGAATGGTTTACTGAACAGTCATAAACTGTCATTGTGATGGAAACGCAGCGGAGTGCAGTGATGACAGCGTGGTGCGGGCCACATTGCAAGGCCTGGCGGGATGGATTTGGCCCGCGGGCCTTGTGTTTGACACATGTGGTCTAAACTTAGATCATGGTGATGGCTGCACACTCTGTGAATACACTGAAACTATTAAACTGCACACTTTAAATGGGTGACTTTTTAAAAATATATATATTTTATTGATTTTTTACAGAGAGAAAGAGAGAGGGATAGAGAGTTAGAAACATCGATGACAGAGAATCATTGATCAGCTGCCTCTTGCACACCCCCTACTGGGGATGAGCCGACAACCAAGGTACATGCCCTTGACTCGAATCGAACCTGGGACCTTTCAGTCCACAGGCTGACACTCTATCCACTGAGCAAAACCGGTTTTGGCTAAATGGGTGACTTTTATGGCATATGAATTATATCAAATTTTATCAAATGTTAAGGAATGAATAGTACCCGACCTACACTCTAGAATAGGGGTGTCGAACTCAATCAGAGAAGGGGCCAAAATCTAAAATCCAGCCTAAATCGCGGGCCGAATGGTTTACTGAACAGTCATAAACTGTCATTGTGATGGAAACGCAGCGGAGTGCAGTGATGACAGCGCGGTGCGGGCCACATTGCAAGGCCTGGCGGGACGGATTTGGCCCGCGGGCCTTGTGTTTGACACATGTGCTCTAGAAGTACTCACAGGGATTTGCTCCATCGGTCACAATTAACATCCGGAGGGAACTCAAGCTCACATCTCGTTGGTCCCGATGTGCCATCATAGCCCAGTGCAAGTCTCGACATTTTACTAAAGCTACCTTGGCTAAAATTCAAAAGAGATAGTTAACATACACATACTTGCTAAATTAGATATTTAATATATTATCATAAAAACTTTTAGTTATTTTAGGGATCATGATTTTCACTTAGAGAAAATAAAAAAGGTTTCAAAGAAAGTATGCCCGGTGCTCTGAGGCAGCAGTGATTAACTGTTTGCTCACTGTGACCTGTAGGCAGGCCACTTATCTTTGCCAAGGAAACTCTGAACACCAGAGTACTCAACACATCTGATTCAGGGCTCAAATTCATGCAAATTCATCTCAATTCTTAAGAAAGGACATCATAAGAGACGAAAATGACAACACACTTAGCTTAGTAATTGAACTCTAACATTTGTCAAGCCACCAAGGCATAGAACTATGTCTCTAGAAGGGTGACTTGAAAATCCCTGAAATCTTAGTTCAAACAGTCACATAATTAAAGCTTAGCTGTTGTGCGTAGCTACCTTTGTGGGCATGTACTCTCTGGACCCACGAGAGAGGGCAAGTCTTCATAACAGAGTAGGGTACACTAATTGTATGCATCTTATTCATTACATTCTGAAAAGCAAAGAAAGATAAAAAGTAATCAATACGAAATACACACATAGTATTTTAAAACTGAACTGATATTTTGTTAACAATTTTAATCACATGTAATATATACTCAAATACACACTCTTTGAAAAAAAATATGAAATATTAATTTTAAGGTTGAAGGCTAATTTGCTATCTATTGTACCTTAACCCTGGTCCCTCACCTCCTCAGAGATAATCATTATTATGAATCTGAATGTATACTTCCAATTCTTTTTCTATGTATTTACATATATAGTTGTCCCCATGGAAACAAAGTATTGTTAACATAAAAGGCATCATACTATACATATATCTACAATGTACTTTTTTTCATTTAAGTTGTTTCATAGCTAAATCTATGCACATCAGTTTGAGATCTACACAATTCTTTTCCAAATGCTGCATAGTATTCCACAGTATGATTACACCACAATTTATTTAGGCATTTCCCTATTATTAACAATTGTTTTGCTGTTACAAACAATGTTCCAAGGAACATATTTACACTTTCCTGAGTATACGTACAAGTGTTTCTCTAGGTGCTGTTGTTACCCATCCATCAAATGATGAACAGATAAAATGTGGTATATCTATACAATGGAATTATTATATGGCAATATAATACCGTATTTTCCGGCGTATAAGACGACCCCCTTAATTTTACAGTTAAAACATAGGTTTAGGCCTATATTCGCTGTGTAAGACTACCCCCCACTTCCGAGGCAACACCAGTTATTTTTTTAATAGACCGCCTCTCTGACTATGGCCAATCTGAAAAGGCTTTTTACTAGAACACAGTGTAGCTTCAGGTACAGAACATGTACACTGTGTTCTAGTAAAAAGTCTGCTCAGATTGGCCAGAGTCAGAGAGGCGGTCTATTAAAAAAATAACTGGTGTTGCCTCGGAAGTGGGGGGTAGTCTTACACAGCGAATATAGGCCTAAACCTATGTTTTAACTGTAAAATTAAGGGGGTCGTCTTATACGCCGGAAAATACGGTATGTGAAAGAAACCTGTGGTACTGTTGGGTCACAGGATATCTGTTTCTAAAACTTAACAGATGCTGCCAACTGCCCTCCGACCCACTAAGTGCTTTCATCATGCTGGCGCTTGCCACGTACCACAAAGGGCTGGGTCACAAAACAATCTATCATAGTTTCCCTGTTACTTAGAGAGGGCCCTGCCCACACCTGTTAGGTGTTTGAGTAGATAAAGCTGAGTGAGCTGAGAGTGTTATGCAATTTGGTTTCCTGTCACCCAAACAAATGAATATACCCAGGACCTCCTGTCCCCAGAAGACCCAGCCCAGCAGAATAACTAAGACTTGGTATTTAGGCTGGCCATGTTTCTCACCACACATTGTTAACTTTTTTCCCTCCCTCCCCAAAGTTTCTAGGGTATGGTGACAAACTTTTGGATTTCAGAGAAAGAATGGTGTTTATAACTAATTTTTCACACTTTGTCCCTCTAACTCCTCACAAGGGTTTCTTAACCTCTCATAAAAAGCAAAATTGCACCCTGGCCGGGTAGCTCAGTTGGTTAGAGCATTGTTCCAAGACACCAAGTTTGTGGATCTGATTTCTTGTCAGAGCACAAAGAAGAAGCGACCAATAAATGCATAAGTTAGTGGAACAACAAACTGATGTTTCTCTCTCAAATCAATAAATTAAAAACAATAGAAAAAACAACAACAACAAAAAAACCGAAAGGGAAGGGCTTTCGAAAAGAGCTAGGAAGTATGTACACTCAAAGAATAGGCTATAATTTGAGGGGTCCTGAGTGAAAAGGGATCCCCTCCTCTCCCCCCCAGCTTCATTTCTCCTCTCTCAGACTCCTGCACAGCAGGTAAGGAAGTTGAACAAGATACTCTGAGTTCCTTTTCAACTCTAGGATCTTTTCTCTCCTTTCCTAATCACCATACTACACCTGGTAGCTTTTCCCATTTGAAACATCCCCCCTCTCTACCTCCTCCACAAAAATATCTCTATGTGGCTAAATCTTAGCCATTTTTCAAAGCCCGTCTCAACTGTTACCTCTTCCATAAATACGGCCTCTGTGCCAGAGCTGGGAGGAATTCACCTTCCCCAGCTCCCACAGCACATTACCTGTTCCTCTCTATGGAAAGCAGCCCACTCTATTCTTTAATTGTAGCATGCAGTCATTCAGTACATTTTGTCCAACTGGAAAGTTAGTTATTACCAACAGTTGCCAAGTTCTAAATATACTTACATAATCTCAAACATACTTTTAAAATCATAAATACAGTCATTTTTAGAATCTTTTAGGCTTTGAGCCATCATAGCAGATGTCTTAAAAATTATAGATCCTAAATTCTCCCATTAACTATTATGTGCGGAGTATGCCCAACCACACAATGAAGAAAAAACAGATAGAAGTATATTCTCCTTTTAAAAACAATAACCTGTTGTATTGTAAAATAAAACCCCTCTGGAAAATATTATTGATCTTTTGGGGACTAAAATTTCAAACAAGCACTTGAGAGAGTCTCTGGTTACACAGCATGCATACTGATCCGAATCATAAGATTAACACTAAAGGCCTTAATTCTGAGTAGCTTACCGCAAACATGCCATGCCACAGCCCAGCATCCTTCTTAAAGTCTAAAACATTTACTACTGTTTCTCCTGAAATACAAAAAATGGGGTGGGGGAGTTAGTGGTAAGTAGCAAAATCATGTTACTTGCCTCTATTGAACAGCTGGTTTGGCACTTCTACAGAGATCACTAAAAGCTCTCAGAGTCTTTTGATTACATGGTCATGGAAGAGACCATGAGTTCCAAACTCCATATGACTTAGATACTATCTTCTGAGAGGTAATCCTCTTTTCCTAATTATTTAAGGAACTTTGAAAGTTTCACAAACATGTAAAAATTAGAATTCCCAGAGAGAGAAAATGTTGGTACATATATATCTATATATTATACCTATATACACACACACACATACACTCCTAAGTAGGCTACAGGATACACTTTTGTGTTCTCATTTGTGCTTTTTGGTAGCTGGATTTCTTTGATTCTAAATGTACTGCTGATAGCAGCTTGGGAAGATGGAGATATCTGCCATTCTGCAGCTAATAATGAACAGGTGGTTTTAATTAGTTTTCTATTTCTGTGTTCTAGAAATCATAGTTCACATATTTGGTTTGCCCAGAATTTTAGTTCCTTTAAATTGCAGCATATTTGTGAAAAAGAAGAAAGCCAAAGCAAGCCAAGAATGTGTCTTAAAACATTTCCCTCTGAACTTGGTCATTAGCTGGAATCCAATCACTGGGCACCCTGCTCCTAGTCACACCACATGGATCTGAAGCTCACAATGGGGGCAGTCATGGGACGAAGTCTGACCTTCAGAATAATTGCAGGCCTGGGACAGGGCTTGGCAGTGAGACAGCATCGCCAGGCGGGACACCGTCACTCCCATTACACTCCCTTCTTTGCTTGTTTTATACTAGAAAACAAAACACAAAGAAACAAAACATGAGAAACACAGTAAAATGTTATTTCAAATGACAGGACTAGAATCCTAAAACAAAAGGATAAAGCCATGACAATGGGCTGAATTCAACATGCTTCATATGAACATTTGAGGCTGTGCCCTTGGGCCTCAAACCCTAATCACACCAAGATAGGGCTGGGAATGGCAACGCTGAAGAAAAGTATGTGTGAAAATCCTTAAAAGTTTAATTAGTCACAAGTGTGAAGAGGCTGTTAAAGGCGCTAAACAAACAAGGGACTTGACTGCATTAACAGAAGCACAGTGTCAAGTTCAGGGCAAGAGCAGTCCTGCAGAGCTAAGGGTGCACCAGACGGGACCCTGGCAGAGCTCTGTTTGGGAGGGGGAGACCTAGAAATGGCCTATTCACTCCTACAAATCAGTTAACTATAATTGTGCTTTTACCTCAATGCTCCAGCTATTTCTCCAGTCTCTTGCACTCAAGTCCCCTCTCTGCCAACAACAGAAAAATATCTCTGCCTGTTTCTTTGCCAGGAAACGATTTCTTAGAACTCTGTACTTCTCCAAGACTTTTGTAACTTTCTTACATGGCAAGGATCAATTTCTTCGCTGTCATTCTCTTGAATGTGTATTTCCGTTAAAAATAATTAGAATAGAAAGCCACTATCAGACATTAACAAGCCAAAAGATGGGAATCTAACAAAGTAGGAGGATCTCCTAATTTTAAAACTGCAAAAAAGTGTTTGTAAGACAGCATGTGAAGCAACAGGAAAAGCCAGCATGTTTGTTCCAATCCCAGGACTTACCTCGATGTACGCTGGCTCGCTGCCGGCAGGTGAGATGTGGGGCTGCCAGTCCTTAGGAGGCTTTGAAAGGTACTTGGAATCTGTTACAACCCATTTGAGCCGGGGCCAACCTAAATCAAACCCAAATAAAAACTGAATTGCCTAAGCCATAAGGGAAGGAATTCACATCGAACTGGTCGTTTTAAACATCAAGAGACCAAATCAAGGTCATTTCATAGTCAGTAAGATACGTTTGTTAGTTTTTAGTGACACGTCAGTACACATTTATACCTTCTTTCAAAAGTACAATGTTCCACATGCTCATTCCAGGCCTTGACATTACCTCAACAACTGGGAGGTCCATTTGGCAGTGGAAGTCCACTGGGGTTAGTGGTCTATCCTCTGTCTCTACAGGTAGCATTTAGCTTTAATGAACAGAATGGTAGCTTTTCCAACCATCAGCATAAAGGTTAAGGGTGTGGGCTGTGGAATCAGATTTGGGTTCAAATCGCTGCTCTGCCATTTATTAGCTGTGACTTTGGGCAAGTTACTTAACCTCTCTGTGTCTCAGTTTCCTCACCTGTAAAATGGGGATAATAATGGTACCTACTTCATAAGGTTGTGAGAACAAGGAAACATATTTTAAGTATGTAGCTATTATTAAATTAAAACACTAATTAAAGCACTCGGCTTTAACTAATAATTCAGATACAAATATTACTAACCTTTAAACTGTACGATCTCTCCATTCTGTGTTTTTGGCAGCCCCTTTAGACAGACTTCACTGGTAAGAGCTAAAGCGATACCACAGCTTCCTAGCAAGAAGCCAATCTGCTGCCCTCCAGCATCCTGCGGAGAAGACAGTGAGCACAGTGAGAAGAGTGAACGTGAGCATGCTCATACCCAAAACCTAACACTCAGTAATGCTCTGGCACTTGTGTGATAACATTCATGGAGCCTCACTGATATCTGGCAACTCAAAAATCTAGTGACAATATGTTCTTCCAAATAGTTTGAAACATATAATGATTTCCTGAAGGCAAATAAAATATTTTATGAATCTGACATTGCTAATGAATTCTACAAGCCAAATGTGACCATTTTATTCAAAGGTCAACAATAATCCTCTTTTAGATTAAATTCAAGCAATTAAATAAATGTTAACACGGTTAAATTGTCTTGACCTACCCACACTCCCAAATCCAAAAGCAAAGCAAGTCAGGTTAGAACAAAATAAATAATGTAAATCAACATCCAACATCCAAATTTACAATGAAAGTGAACGAATAGCTATACCAAAATCCATATATTTGTTGTTATATTTTAAAAGAGATATAGTCTAAAGATTTTCATTAAAATGTCATCATTACGAAATCCCACAAACACTGTCAACTTAGTATAAGAATAATCCTATGACTTTCTGAACAACTTAAATATACTATATCCCATCAACCAGAGTTTTAGAGATGTTACCAATTTGTTCTTTATTCCTTTAAGAAAATTATCTTTTCCTTGTAAATCCACACTCTCCAGCATATTTGTCTTGAAAAACAACTCTCAATAATAAACAACACGAGAAAATTAAGGTTAGGTTAAACAGCTCGTGGAAAAATCATTTGGTTAAACTTTGAAATTGGCCACATATACTTCATTTTAGTAGGGCTGATTTGTTATTAATGTACCACCCTTCAACTTCATGGAAATCCTAGGTCACATGAGGCAATTGGACCAAATCCCTTTACAAAAGGTCTTGCCTATTGTAAATGTGGACAAATGTAGATTATAGTCTCTGAAGCAAGGGTGGTAATTGTTGAAAAGTCAAGTATGTCTCCATGATTTTTAAGTGATATACAATACTATATAATACCATAAATATTCTATCTTAGGTAAAAACATGTTATTTGCATAAAAGTTATAAATATTTAAAAAAATATTTTATTGTTTTTTTTACAGAAAGGAAGGGAGAGAGAGTGTTAGAAACATCAGTCAGGTGCCTCCTGCACACTCCCCATTGGGGATGTGCCCGCAACCAAGGTACATGCTCTTGACCGATCGAACCTGGGACCTTTCAGTCCACAGTCTGTCGCTCTATCAACTGAGCCAAGCCAGTCAGGGTGAAAGTTATAAATATTAATAATTTTTATGAAACTTTCATGTTTTTAAAAAGTGAAACTTAGTACTTAAGAAAGCAGATGTTTCTAATGTCATGATCAAGTCAATGGATCCAAGAACCCAACAACTGCCATGTCACACAGGCTACATTCTTTTTAAATTTAGCAATGTTACCTTTCTGGTAAGAGGTACCTCTATAGGCACTGGAATCACTTCAGCCAGGAGACATCCATAAAAAGCCACCATAAACATGACTGGATCATTGTTGGGGTAAACCAGGGCTACCTAAAATGCATAATGACATTGAATAACAGAGGAATAAAAACAGACTAAGGCTTTTAAGTCACTCTATAAGATATACATTTAAATATAAAATATCTTTCATGAACACAATAAATAAAACTAAGTTATTGAGAAGAATGCCCAAATCTAAAAAGACCTCTGTCATTCCTATGATTATACTAGACACATTTTGGGAACTATATTGCAATTCATCATCATCCTAAGGTTTTTCACTTAATTCTATTGGTGATTTAGCAATAAACAACTCATCTTAAGTAGTAAGTTAATTACTTGTGAAAACTAAGCCAATTTACTTTAGTGCAAAGCTAAAGCAATAAAATAAGTGTATCGATTTAGAGACCAGCATATTAAAGAATAAGTCTTACATCTCTCACAGAGAGCTATAAGCATTGAAGCTCTTACTCTTTGACAAATTCATTGCATTAATTCAAGTATTCTAACATGAAAGGCATTTGGTAATAGGTATAAGCAATACTGACAGAAACCATTATGGATATAAAGTTCATTCATTTACAAAAGATGAGTTCAAACCTGTGATCTCACCTCTAATACATCACAGGGATAACCAATGCTTCCTACTACTCAAGGAATGAAAAAACACAGAAGTCACTATCATTTTGAAGTTTTGTTACTTGGCTCAGATATTTATACATTAACATTTGAAACTTAATTATGTCACTTGACTCTTGTTTTTCCTTCTTTTGCTTTCAAATGATCTAAACTCACTTTCAAGGTAAGTTCAATTCTTTTTTTAAATTAAAAATTTTTTAATAAATTTCAATTCAAACCTTCAAGAGTTCTAAAAAAACACACAAACTACACAAGACATTTAAGTAACCCATTTTCTTCCTGCACTCAAATGCCTCTGCTGTCAGGAAACACAGAAGCACCTTCTGAGGGTTCAGTGGGGACTAGGAAACACTCATATGCCACAATCGTAAGTAGAAGTCATCCTTTAGATGTTCTTTGCCACAATACAAAAATGTTTTTAAAAGGCTAGTTTAGGAGATTCTATAATCATGGGTCTCCTAAAAGCAAGTCTGTTGCATAGCTGGTGTTTCATGCTACAAATTCCAACTGAAAAGTAATGTTTGATTTAAGAAGTAATCATATTTTCAAACTTATTAATAGAAAAAAAACCTTCAGCCGAGACCGGTTTGGCTCAATGGATAGAGCGTCGGCTTGGGGACTGACGGGACCCGGGTTCGATTCCGGCATATCCCCAGTAGGGGGTGTGCAGGAGGCAACTGATCAATGACTCTCTCTCATCGATGTTTCTAACTCTCTCTCTCCCTTCCTCTCTGTACAAAATCAATAAAATATATTTAAAAAAAAAGAAAAAAAAAGAAAAAAACCTTCAAAAATTAAAGAAGATTCATGTCACCTCCAATTAGAGAAGAAATTAAACAATGCCTATTTGCTTCTTCAATGAGTCTCCTTCCTTTCTAAATAAAACCACAGAAAATTGTTTTTAAAAATTTATGGGACTATTTTTTATAATCCTCACCCAAGGATATGTTTTTGGTGTTTTTTATTTTATTTTATTGATTTTTAGAGAGAACGGAAAGGGGAGAGAAACAGAAACATCGACTGGTTGCCTCCCATATGTGCGCCAACCCAGGATTGAACTGCAACCTAGATCTCTACCCTGACTGGGAAAAGAACCCACAACCTTTTGGTCTTGGTGGATGGTTGATGCTCCAACTGACCCACCCGGTCAGGGCAATGGGATATTTTTAAAAGAAAAAAGAAAAAAATCAGAGTCAACTTGTTTGTTTTTTTTGTTACCTAAATATCAAGATATTTACTTCCAGAAAGACAGGTCTCCCTAGTTTTTATTCAGGAGCTCTCAGTAAGCTCCTGAAGAGTTTACTGATTATCAGCAACAGAAAGGGACATGTGAATTTCCTTCAATTGATGAATGTAAGAAATATTGCCTGGCATTGGGCCAACCTGGGTTGGCAACAAACCATTTTCATTTCCTAAGAATAAAAGTTATATAAATTATGCTGTTGTATATTAAAAATTCAGAATACATATGTTCAAAAGCAATAAAACTTCATCTCCCTAAAACCAAAAAACAAATTAAGATTACCCTGTCTGCAGGTTTTAACACAGGTTCATTTTTGGTCCCCAGTTTATTAAGCAGTGTATAGGCCAACTTTAAACTTCTGCTCCACAACTTTCCTGAAAAAGAAAACAGACATATAGAAAACCACAGGTACACACCTGCCACCACCCCTACCCCTAGCTCACCACGCCTTTCTTCCTCTCAGAGAGACATCCCCCAACTCTCAGGGTCCCCACAAGACTTGCAGCCAGGGGAGCAATAGGTGGTGGCAGCTCATCCCGGGCTAACCGCCTGAACCTCTCTCCAAGGCTCCCTTTGCTCTGACTTTCCAGTGAGCTGACAGAAGCCCCACCCTTGGTTCTCTTCTGTCAATGTGACTCTTACTTTCCAGTGAGTCCCCACGGCTCACTTTCCCATAGCATTTCTAGAAAGCCAAAGCAATCCCACCTATGCTCTCTCTAGTTGCTTCTTATACCCTAAGCACTTCCTTGTTTCACTTTTCCAGCTTTAATAAACATTATCTCAGAGAGAGAGAGAGAGAGAGAGAGAGAGAGAGAGAGAGAGAGAGAGAGAGAGAGAGAGAGAGAGAGAGAGAGAGAGAGAGAGAGAGAGAGAGAGAGAGAGAGAAAGGGAGAGAGAGAATCACAGGCCTATCTCATCAAGAGACATTCAGTCCCTAAGCACATATAAGACAATGGCCCCTTCCAAATGACACATCAGACAAGCATGGCCTCCAATAGAGAGTTCCTCCCCCACAACAAACATGTTATTTTTCACACTAGTTTATGGAAAGCCAGTCCTGCCTCCAAACAACAACAACAAAATACAGCAATGGAAGCTCATTCTGATTTAGATCATTTTTCAAGTTGTTATTTTTAAAATATGTTTGTATTGATTTCAGAGAGGGGAAGAAAGAAGGAGTGAGAAATAGAGACATAATTGATGAGAGAGAATCATCGATCAGCTGCCTCCTGCACAACCCCTACTGGAAATCCAGCCGGAAACCAGGGCCTAGTCTCTGATTAGAAATCGAACTTTGACCTCCTGGTTCATGAGTTGATGCTCAATTTTCTGAACTAATCTGAGTATCTTTTTAATATATATATATATATATATATATATATATATATATATATATATATATATTTTATTGATTTTTTACAGAGATTCTGCCTTCTTCATGCTTCCTTCCTTCAACCATTCTTAGAAATTCTTACTTATATTATGGTATAGGTAAAAGACAAATTGTATTATTTCAATAGATACGTTACTTTTATATCTAACACATTTAGGGGAGGTTTAAACATATCAGTTTCCACAATTCTTTAAATAAAACAAAAAATTTCTCTAAAATTATTCTATATTTAGGTCTATGGACAACATGCACTGCTTGTGAAGGTAAAAAGGAATCTGTCTGAATAAACTAGTACAAAATCTCACAGCCCAGGTTAAATCTACTCTTCTTGTTAATTTTTTTCACTCTTGTTATTAAAAAAAAGTTATTTTTAAATAATATATCAAAGAAAAAGAATTTACTTTAAAAAGTTATTTACAAAAGAAAAAGAAAAACTTTAGCTAGGATGTAAAACTAAAAGGAAAAGTACTGCTTCTTTGTTTATTATAGAATTTTGTGCCTATTATAAGCAAAGAGGCAGGATGAAGTAAATGACAAAGATCTAAAGAGTAATTAATTTCAATATCTGGATAAAACCATATGGTTTTTACCATACATCATTAATCCTGCCCAAATGTCTTCCTAAAATCCTCTCTTTGAACAACTCTATTCCTTTTTTAAAAAATATATATTTTATTGATTTTTTTGATAATCTGGTAATATGGTCATCTCCATTCACAGGGAATTCATACAACTTAACGAAAGGAAGATAAACAATCCAATTAAAAATAAAGGGGGGGGGAGTGCTGAGAGGATTTGGAGAAAAAGGAACCCTCATGCACTGCTGGTGGGAATGTAGACTGGTGCAGCCACTGTGAACAGTATGGAGTTTCCTCAAAAAACTGAAAATGAAACTACCATTTGATCCAGTAATCCTACTTCTAGGAATATACCCCAAGAAACTAGAAATACCAAGCAGAAAGAATATGTGCACTTCTATGTTCATAGCAGCACAATTCGCCATGGCTAAGATTTGGAAACAGCCTAAGTGCCCATCAGCAGATGAGTGGATTAAAAACTGTGGTACATCTACATAATGGAATACTATGCTGCGGTAAAAAAGAAGGAATCCTTACCATTTGCAACAGCATGGATAGAACTGGAGAGCATTATGCTAAGTGAAATAAGCCAGTCAGAGGAAGATAAATATCACATGATCTCAACTCATTTATGGAATATAATGAACAACATAAACTGATGAACAAAGAGACAGAGAAGCATCCATCAGACCTTTAAACCTCAGAGGGAAGGTAGGGAAGGGTGGGGTGAGGGGGAGAGATCAACCAAAGGACTTGTATGCATGCATATAGGCCTAACCAATGGACACAGACATTAGGGGGGTGAGGGCAGGAGTAGGGGTGTGGGGGGAGCAAAGGGGGAATAAGGACATATATGTAATACCTTAATAAAGAAATTAAAAAATATAAAATTCTCTCTTAATGTTAAAAAACATCAGTGGATACACAGTCTCTTCTTTTTTGCTCTAATATTTATTTATTTATTATTTTTTTAAACAGTGCTACCCTTCTTTTTTTAAAATGTATTTTTATTTATTTCAGAGAGGAAGGGAAAGAGAGAGAAAGATAGAAACATCAATGATGAGCCGAAGCCGGTTTGGCTCAGTGGTAGAGCGTCGGTCTGCGGACTGAGAGGTCCCGGGTTTGATTCCGGTCAGGGGCATGTACATTGGTTGCAGGCACATCCCCAGTACGGGGTGTGCAGGAGGCAGCTGGTCGACGTTTCTCTCTCATCGACATTTCTAGTTCTCTCTCTCCCTCCCTTCCTCTCTGTAAAAAAATCAATAAAATGTAAGAAAAAAAAAAAAAAAAGAAACATCAATGATGATCAATGATGAGAGAGAATCATTGATGGGCTGCGTCCTGCATGCCCCACACTGGGGATTGAGCCTGCAACCCAGGCATGTGCCCTTGACGAGAATTGAACCAGGCCAACACTCTATGCACTGAGCCAAACCAGCAGGGCTCATTTAAATATAAGCTGCTTTGCAAACGTCAGGTTAGCAAATTAAAATATTTGTTAATAGCTGTACTCAGAACTTAGGATCCTTTGAAAATAAAAGATCTACTGAAACACAATGACCAGCAACTGCGAAATACCAAGATAAAACCCCTCCCATGATAACCTGTAGAATTATTAGGAGAAAAGAAAGGAGCTGGAACCTTGCAAACTCACCGTAGGTGAGCGTGTAGACTGGCTTCCCTGTCACGTCCAGTGCGGTCAGGCAGGGGCACTTGGCTTGCGTGGTGCCCCAGCGCTGCAGGGCAGACTCCAGCGCGGGAGGCCAATTGCAGATAACTCCTAGGGGCTCTCCCTTCACAGGGGTCATTTGCCGCCCCTCAGGCTTGGGCTGGTTAGGGTCTGGCTGAGGTACTGAAACAACAGAAATGAGATCTGATATAAGTACAAACATCAACCAACACAACTTAGGTCACTAAACCCATAGATGTTTCCCTTTTCCTTTCATCTTTATCTAGTTTGAACTCACTCTGAGAAAAGAAAGAACACTGTTAGAAGTGGTAATCCATAACCTGGGCCTTAATTCGCTTTCCCACATAACTGTAAAATCATATTTTATTTTATTTTATTTCATGCAACAAGCAAATCCTGAGCCTGACAAAGCAAATCACTGAACACATAGAAAAGCATAAAGTATAAATTTCCTTTTAGTAATTTTACAATTTTTAGTAAACTTGTTTTGAAATCTTTCATTTGTGTCCAATGTCAGAGAGCCAAGTTCCATTTTTTCAGATAACATTCAATGAAAAGGGACTGAATGGTGAGTCAGGAAAACCAAATTTATATTCACTTAAAAATATATAATTTTATTGATTTTTTACAAAGAGGGAGAGAGAGAGATAGAGAGCCAGAAACATTGATGAGAGAGAAACTTGGATCAGCTGCCTCCTGCACACTCCCTACTGGGGATGTGCCCGCAACAAGGTACATGCCCTTGACTGAAATCGAACCCGGGACCTTTCAGTCCACAGGCCAATGCTCTATCAACTGAGCCAAACCGGTTTCAGTTATATTCACTTTTCACTAGTGGGACCTTAGGCAAACTGAGTTACCTGAGTCTTGTTTTTTCTCATCTGTAAAACGGGGACAGTAACAGTTATACCACAGGGTCAGTATCAGACTCAACCCAATAATGGGCAGGCATGTTCCTTCCATGGCCAATCTCTGCCTCATGGTGAACCCATAGTCATCCCTCTGAAGAAGCAGATCAACCGTGCATTTTCTGGGAAACCATCTCCCACCATTTCTTCCTCAGGGCCCCCACACCATGTGGTAGTGCTCCCTTATTAAAGCACTAGGCTCCTCAGGGCTTCTGATACTGTACACGTTTTTTCTCCACCCTAAGCTTGAGAGAAGGCATGGTTCTTACTTCTCTTATTGCCTATAGTGCCTAATACAAAATGCTCAATCAATTTTAGTTAATTTGAACTGAATTTGGGGGAGATAAAAAAGCTCTAGATTATTAACATGATCATTCCAGAAACTGGCAGTGAATAACATTTCATAATTTTTCACTTAAAGCTAAAGTCTTCAATTTTTCTACAATAAATAAGTACCGTGTTTTCCCGAAAATAAGACCTACTTACAGGTTTCCTTTTGAGTGAAATATAAGGCATTCCCCCGAAAATAAGGCCCCCCCCTAGGCTCTGTCTCAGAATGCTATTGCTAAACATGAGAGATTTGGTCCACTGATTCTGAAAGAAATGGAGTCACAAGAAATTCACCAGGAAATTCAGGAATTGGATTGTTATGATGATGTTCCAGAACATGATGACATGATTGTCATTGAATAAATGAGTAAATTCTTGATACCATAGGATTCACAGTTTGTCTGGTTTGTGTTGACAACTACCGTACTACCGTACCATATACAGGTAATAAATTTCCTTTATTTTCATTTAACAATAAATGTGTACCGTATTCTTCTTCATGGAAAAATAAGACATCCCTGAAAATAAGACCTAGTACATCTTTGGGAGCAAAAATTAATATAAGACACTGTCTTATTTTTGGGGAAACGGTATTATTCAAATAAAAAAAATCCTATATGTTCACAGTAGGAAAGATAATTTACACATGGAATAAAAATCAAGTATTTACTGAGTACCATTATGTAGATAGGATGTGATAAACAGTGAAAAAGTAAATACTGATCTATTATTCTTTGACAAACATTTATTCTTTCTAATGCTATGTGTAAGGAATACAGAGTCTATGTCCTCCAGGGGTATGTAGAGTACAATGCGGACACACATACACACACACAAACACACAACTAAGTAAACATGAGCAGTGTAGACAGAGGCATGTATAGAGAAGGCAGGCGGGAGAGGGCCACATTTAGGGGGTGGATCCTTCACCTGTAGGAGGTAATGCCTGAGCTGAGTCTTAAAGATAGATTAGGATTTAGCCAGGTGAATGGGAGGTAAGAGAAGCAGCACAGAAAGGACAAGGAACAGAATGAGCAACAGGTATTAGATGGGCAATTGGAATATGAAATAACTTATATTTTTTGACAGATTTGAGAAGCTCACTAAAATATCTTGAGTAGTTTCACTTCCCAAATCACTGTCCTTCTACTATGTATATTTCCAGACCCTAAACCATCAGATTAAGTTAAAAAAAAAAAAGAACACAATCAAGCTAAGTGAATGGTTTCGGTTTTGCAAATAGATTACACATGGCAGGCACAGTCTTCTGGTGATAAAAGTCTGTACATTGTTGCCGTCCACTAGGCCTCAATGCAGACTTCAGGACACACTCAGACTTCCAAAGACATAGGGGATCTCTTTCCAAAGGTATTCTTATTCAAATAAACAGCAGCTTGCCTATTAATAACTAGTGACAAGCTGTTGATTCTATTCTGACAATGAAAATTGTTTCAGTATGATTTCTATCAAACCTTGAACTTCATTTGCCTGGTCAATACACAGTGCTAAAATGCCTGGTGAGGTTATTGTTGGCATGAGCACCTTGAACATCAGTGCACTGAGAAAGATCCCCTTAGCTCAATGAGTTCAGTGACTCTTAAACAAAAGTTCATCTTAACCTCATGTGTCAGGTTGCTTGTTGCTTCCTGCTGCATAAAATGGGTTAAGACCAAATCTAGGCTACTCATGGCCTATTTCCAGTAACAGGTCTGAGATGATCAAAGCCTACTATAAGTCTCAGGATGTAAAAATGGAGTACAAAGCTACCAGGACTTAGTTCTTTTGACAAAAGCTTTAGTTAGGTAGATCTATTTGCCACCTAGCTTCAATAATTATCAAATGGTCACTCTTGGTTTATCTAGGCCCTCAAGGTGTTTCCCTACCAATCCTTCCTAAATATCATGATTTCATCCATAATTTTTTAAAATTACTGAATGAATAGACCACTATCACCACTTCCTCTACGAAGCTTCCCCTAACCACATGGATACAACTGATTTCTTTCCTTCTCCAACTACCTGTATTAGTTCATACATATTTAATGGCTAAACTCAGTTCTCACATGTATATATTTTCCAACAGGTCTAAATTATAAACAACATAATGGAAGAAGGAAGTTGACTGTATTTTGATTATCCTTTTCACCATCTACCATGTTATCTTTTTTTTCCACATTATCTTTTTCCTAATGTATTTTTTATTGACTTTAAAGAAAGGAAGGGAGAGGGAAAGAGAGACAAACAACAGTGATGAGAGAGAACCATTGGTTAGCTGCCTCCTGCACACCCCCTAGTGAGAATCAAGTCTGCAACCCAAGCATGTGCCCTAACTGGGAATTGAACCATCACTTCCTGGTTCATGGGTTGATGCTCAACCACTGAGCCACACCAGCTAGCCTACCATGTTATCTTAAAGAAAGCAGTCATATACTAGTATATGTGTTGACTGGCTGATTTAACAAAAAGGTCTGTTATATCAAAAGATTGGGCAAACTTTTGAGTTTGACATCAGTATTTTAGGATAATGCCAAATATAAATAATCCTATCCAATAAAGAGGAAATATGTTAATTGACCATCACACCATCACAAAATGGCGGTGCCCATGGGCAATAAGGAGCAAATATGCTAATTGACTGCCACACCCTCAAAGATGGTAACGTCCAGTCCTCTCAGTCTCCCAGCTGCCCAGGGCCTGCCTGAGGTGCAGGCAAGCCTCAGTTGGTGGCTACCCCGAGACTCAGATAACCAGGGCCAGCCAAGTCTTGCACTGCCAGCAATGGCAGCAGCAGAGGTGTAATGGGGACCTTGCCTTCCCCTGATCGCTGGGTCACCTCCTGCCCCTGAGGGTTCCCAACCTATGAGAGGGGGCAGAGCGGGCTGAGGGAATCCCCCCATCCAGTGCATGAATTTTTATGGACTGGGCTTCTAGTCTTTCAAATAATGTATCTGGCAAAATTCCAAATTTCAAAGAGCATATTTTCAAGGATAGTTCAATACTCCATAGTTCTCTCTTTCCTTTTTTCTCCTGCCCTCCTGCCCTATTTTTCATCTGAGGTCTAAAATATAAATGATCTTTAGGGGAAAAGAGCAGAAAACTATGAAGTTGTTTAACCCAAAATGATGCCTTGCTCATCCTTAAAGCCTATAGTACCTGACATGTAGTAATCGCTTAAGAAATGTTTGTTTATGGTACTATTACTACTACCTTCCACAATTTCTTCAGAGTCATCCACAAAAAATTCTTTTAAGGGAGGCCTTTTGGGTCGTTTCAGAGTGTTGAGAAGTTGTTGGATTTTTGTGGATACTCTGCTACTGACAGGAACACCTATAAGGGAAAAAAATGGTAAGTTAAAATTAATTGATTTCAGGGATATTTTAGTTCACCGATTTTCTTAGAAGCTTTTATTTCTAATGATTTTTGGCCTTTTCCCACAGTCTCATCCTATTTCAACTGGGACAAATAAATATAAATATGTCCATGACAAGTTTTGACAACAGAGAATAAATATGATGCTATTATTAATATATTGCTTAATGATGTCACTTAATCTCCCTTTTCTCTTATAGCATTCTTTTCTTTTTACATATTCAATTTTTTGTTCAAAGTATCTTTTGAAAGTACAGACTAAGTCTGAACAAGTGTCAGTGTGGCCACACTTGTTGAAAGAGCATGCTCTAGATGACTTGTGTTACTGGATTTCTACCCCATCAGAACTCCCTACCATCAGCTGTATCCATAAGGCTGGACCTGTTGGATCCTTTGTGCATGCCTTTAACTATCCCGGAGGGGGGCAGATCAATATTTGCTGGGCGTACTGAGGAAGATGATGATGATGAAGAGGTAGTTGTAGTGACATCAGGGGGAGCAGAAAAATTCTCTAAGAGGGGAGAAAACAAAATTTAAAATTATATTACATTAGCAGTAAAATAAAGAATTTTTAAATCTTTTTTTGTTTGTTTGTTTTGGTTTGCTTTTTAGCAAGGAAGAAAACTATGGGAATGAGCTCTTGTAAAACAACCATTGGAATCAAGTTCTACTAGCAAAATATAATGAGAGAGCAACAGGTTAAGCCAGAGCTTATGAGCTTTCCAAAATTACTTTAAAAAACTCGAGTAGCCTTAGTAAGATCAAATCCTCTAACAAATGTTTCTCAAAAACACTCTTTTCTATGTAGGAAGACTAGTAGAAAACCAATATTAAAAATAATCCTAAATAAAACAAAAATTACAAATGACTTCAAAATGAAACCAAGTGAGTATGATTATATAGTTACTACTATTCTAGTCTGTTAAGCATTTCTTCATGTTTATGTTGGTTTATCTGTAATATTTCTTCTTCTATTCAAGACAGAAATAGTATCTTGAGAATGGGTCAGATCATTCGAGTTTCCAGTTGAAGAAAAACAGATAGGTCTCCTTTTAATTTTTATTAATCGACCCATAGGCAACTTGGATCTATACACACAGACCAGGTTCTTCCCTTGCTCTAAGCATGGTTAGTGTTACTGTACTTTGCTTCATGTATAGATTCTTAATATAAAGGAAATGAATGACATAAATTGGAAGAGAGACATTCAACGGGGATGTGTTACAAAAAAAATAGAAGAAGAAAACATCTGGAGAAGTAAAAAAATGAAATTAGAAAATATACAATTCACAAGAATAATAAAAAGCCACTCAAAACAATAAAAAGGGGAAAAAATCATAATATGAACAATTTCTAAAGTCAATTTGAAAGTAAGATCTCTATGTTCTAAAAGTCTGTAATTACTAGTTTAATAGTTTTTAAAGTTTTAAATATAGTACAAACTATAAATAAATAATAAATATAGTACTGGCACAAGTATATGGCAGTATATCTCTTCTGTAGGATAGTGTGGTAACAAGTGTTAAAAACCTGCATTTTTATTTGACTCAACAATTCCACTTATAGAAATACATACTAAAGAAATAATCAGACAAATGCACAAAGTTTTGTGTTCATAAATGTTTATCCCAACAGTTTTTATAATAGCAAAAAAAAATGCATAATACTTAAATGTCCAAAATTGGGGAATGGCTAAATAAACCAGGACATGGCCATACAGTGGCATATTTTGAAACCATAAAAAAAATAGTATAATTCTATATTAATGATATAATAGATGTTTGTGATAAGAAAAGCTGGTAATGAATGTTGTGTTTAGTGTACTTTCATTTTAATAAAAATAAAACCTACATATTTATATGCAAATAAAGTCTAAAAGAATATAAAATAAAGTGATAACATTAAAGTGTTATCTATGGAAAGTAGGTTTATAAATTATTTTTATCAGTACTTTCACATTTTTCTATCAGAATCATTAATTACTTCTTTTAAAACATGCAAAAGGCAATAATGTTAGATAAATCTGCTCTCTTTTAGACCAATCTGAAAATAAAACCTGACCCACCATGACTGTTGTGGCCTCTTCCAAAGAGAAGAGGCGGTGAGCATGCTCACCTGTAGCTGCCTTAGGAGGTTCAGGGAGTGACGGGACAGGGTTAAGAGTGCAGGACAAATCAGTGCTATTGGCCTTGGCTTTTAAATGTAGTCAATCACCCCCAAGGTGGCTAATGTCGTTAAAAGTTATTGGCTTGAATTAAAACTTTTCCAAGTTTTTCTTTTTAATTAATAAAAGAATACAAGTGCAATCTCCCTCCTGGGAGAGACCCACACCTGTCCCCTCCCCCCGTCCTCCCTGGCCCGCTCCCTTTACTTTTCTCGCTCCTAAGCTCCAAGGACCTTTTCTTTCCCCTCTGTAACTTTCTAAATAAATTTCCTCTTATACTTTGAAAAAATAAAATAACAATGTAAATAAGGTGATATAAAAGGTCACTGATAAGAAAATGAAGACACCAACATGTAATTGATTGTCTAGAAAAAAAAGTATAACAGGCACATGATCTGATGTTCATATACATCACTTAGTGTGTGTACCAACCAATTAAGCAGAAGCAGAGAACTGAGTTGTATCTTTATTTGCAGTTGTCACAAACTCTTTAGAAACACACACAAAAGAACATAAAGCAGAGCCAAGCAGAAGCTACATACACACCATACAGGTGCAGAGGCAACACGTAGCAGCCCACAGAGTCCCATTCTCGGGCTGCACACTCTAGTTATAGCAATAACACAGCAGCAAGGACAATAAATCCAGTCTTTATGCTAAAGACAAAAGGGCCTCACTGAAATTGTCTTAGTACAGAATTTGCTCAGGTTTAATGTTTTTTGTTTGAGAGAACGTAAACAATAATCCTGGGGAAAATCTAAGATGTTAGTATTTTAACACCTTTGATCAGATGGAATATTCTTCAATAGGGATAAACCCTCGCTAAGACTGGTGTTATATCTTGCAGCCTGAGTATTGCTTACGGAAATAGCTATGGCTTCAGGTGGGGAATATTTTGCATAAAAAATGCAGACAAATGTATTGCTGGTGTTTCATTCTTTGCTTCATTAACTGTCATGTTCTTTCTGATTCTACTTTTTAGGCCACTCTGAAAAACCTAATACAAATCAAAAACTTTTCTGGATACTGGGAGCCAGATGTGACAATAATTTGGGCTTCTTGGATAGACCCAGCTCCTACCTATTCGAGTATTGGCAAATACATCAGCTAGAGACCCACTGGTTCCTTTGACCTCTCCATGGGACAGCGTAGAAGATGCAGATGAAGAAGTGGACGATCCCTGAATGGAACGGTTGATCCAGGACTCTGCATTCTGTAAGCTCTGTAAGGCAGCAGAGAGCGCAGCTTGGCGTCTCAGAGAGCCCTCATCCTCGGAGGCCGAAGACGTGTCTGTGTGGAATTAGAAAAAAAGTTGTTCTCGATCCTGCCTAGAACAGAGACCTTTCACTTCTTGCTCATTGATCACACATTCAATTTTGACACCAGCAAAACATTCGCATTCTCAAGGTAAACTAATATGTCAAGCTTCTCCAGAATCACAAGGAAAGGTCTATGGAACAAAGTGCTGAGAACCAAGATCAACAGTAATTAATATATATGCTAGAAGTCTGGTCAGGAGGCTGAATTGGGCTCTTTGATATTCACAGGGTGAATATTTGCATTTTATTACCTACTGCTGACTCAAAGGCCTAAAACACACACCCCCAACCTGATAATCTTACAGTTACTAAACATTACCATTGATATCTGTTTGCATACCTAAAAAGCAATTGTGTATTCTAGCAAATAAAAGCAGATGGGAACAAAGACTCCGTGGAACTTGGCTACTACAGCTAAGCTTTCCCTGGCTTCCCCCACAATTTCCAAATTTATATTTCTTGTTTTGTGCATTAATTTGCCCTTCTCCAAGTCTTTGAACCTGAGGCCACGCTGGCTGTGGTTTCACACAAAAGACTGCAAAACTAAGTCTAAATCTACAGGTAACTTTAAGTTATTTTTTAAAAATCCATTTAGAACATTTCAACTTCACTGTTTTTCTGATCTGAGTTTAATTAATACCTAAGTTCTTTGGCTCATCTTACTTATATTCAAATAATTCTGAAGTGCTTATATATCATCCTCAATCTCTTAATTTATAGAACCCTGTGATCAGATGCTACATTGATTTCAACAAGTACTTATTAATTAATGTTTACTTAAAAGGAAATAATATTGATAGGAAGATATAAAAACTTAATTAACAACGACTTAAGTGTCAGTGAGAGGCTAGGGAACTGATGTGGAATAAGAATGCTTAGGCTGAAAGCATTCATGGTTTCAGCGCAAAAGATAGCTGGTCATTTGGCACAGGTAAGATTTTCAAACATGACAGGAGAGGGCACTGATCTGTATTTCTCTTCTTAATTCTCAGAGAAGAACTGTGAGAACTTCACTGAGGTCTGTATTTAGCCTGGCCCTGACTTCAGGAAAATAAGGCCTAAATTAGAAAAGCATATGAAAAGGAGAAAAAAAAAATATCAACCAAATATAGGATAGCCAACGGCAGCAGAAGTCAGGGTTTGTTCTAGGGCTCCAAGCTGACGAGGCACACAAATTAAGGGGCACTGGGTCTGATGTGAGAAAAAACCCTTTAAATGGCTTTAGGGGTTATAATGTATGGCCTGCAAATTGAATTTCATTCATTTTTTAAAAAATTAAATGTTCTGTGATTAGTCCTGTTGAATTCTTTCCTATAATTCAGGTGAACCTGTAGGTCCATGTTCTACTTTGGCTCAAAGAACTAAACAGATAACATTGTAAGTACCAACAATGGAAATTTAAACCACAAAAGACTAATTTAATCTAGAAGTCAAATTCTGCAAGAGAAAGTTTATCCTTGCTTTCTGCTCTGGACTACTTCCAAATTATTACCTCATATTGAAGGAGATATGAGGTCCAAGATTTGTTTTGTTTTGTGTGTGTGTGTGTGTGTGTGTGTGTGTGTGTGTGTGTGTGTGTTTAATGTACTACATAATCATTACATATGCCAGGAACTATATCAGGTTCCGAGGATCCTGAGATGTATGAGTTCTTATGAGACAGGAAGGGGCCTAAAAAGGGTTACAGTCTAGTACAGAGAGACACACAACCCCAGACTGTTTCACAGGAATACAACAGATGCTAAGAAATAGGGTAAGCAAGGGTTTCACTCCCGGGCACCAATCCCAGCTGTGGATGTCAAGGACTTCTATAAATGGAGCAAAGACTTTTGAAGAGGTAAGGGGCACCAGGTGAGGCTGAGACGTAGACAGTGACCAGACCTCAAAGAGATAGACAATGAGGTTCTTTAAAGGGCAGAGAGATCTACAATGCAAAAGGAGGAGGATTAAAGGAAAATAAAAGAAACGTAATAGCATCTGCCATGTTTTAAGGAAAGCCTTTTGCATAATTTCCAGAAATTATCCTAACATTTTAGCTGTACCTTAGGAGAGAGATTTCTATCTTTGCAAATATGCTAAAGAAGGGGGTCGAGGGAGGCTGGGACAGGTGAACCGGGCCCTTAGAATAAAGTATTTTTAGGGTATAGATAATATATCCCATAAACTCCACTAGATTTGCAAGCTATCTTCCTTGAATCATTTATTTTAATCTGTATATGTCTAAAATCAGAATAACCCGATTTTCAAAAGATAGTAAAGGCAGTTTTTCATGATTAAGTTTATGAAAAACTGGCTTCATTATGTTTCTATATTGAATCAATTATGTAATTAGGTATATTGTTTCAATTCAATTTCCTCATCGTCCACAGTCCTCCTCAAAGTGTTTAGAGGCCATGACTGTGGGCAGCGTGGCAGAGTGTGGTGGGGAAAGCATGGTTCCGGTGTCTGTCTTCCGTGTGACCCCTGAGGCCCACCCCTTACTGGCGTCGTGATGTGGGTAATCACAAGATTATCCATCTGAGAAGCCTGGCTGTTTGTTCAGCCATTCAATAACTACTACTAAGCACTTCACTAGTTTGATATAAAAAGATGAGCAATTAGTTAGGAGAAGCATAAGGTTGGGGAGAAAGAAGTGTGGGTAGAGGGGAAGCTAAGAAGGGACAGAAAATAGGCACATTTGAAGATCTGAATGAAATTAGACCAGCTGAAGCACAGGAAGCTAAATCGTTAGTGAAGAAAGATGAGGGTGGACAAGTGAACAGCACGGGGTTGCTAAGGTCAGGGTAAGACGTGCTAAGGGAACTGGCTTTCATGCTAACTGCAGTGGCAGGCCAATGAAGTGAGTCCGTGTCCAGAAAGCAGCCCAGCAGTGACAGCACAATAGCAGGTGGAAAATAAACATTAGGTCTCCTTTTCCTCCCAGAATAACCCACCCTATGTTACCTCACGAAACTGGCTGGGCAAATTTTAAAGCTGATTGTTTTAAGATCACACAAAATGTAAGCACTTCTCTGAGACTGTATCTTTTTAAAAATAAAAATGAGCTCCTTTAATTCTTACATGTTGCCCTGGCTGGTGTTGCTCAGTTGGTTGAGCACTGTCCCCTGCACAGAAAGATTTGCTGGTTTGATTCCATGTCAGGGCACATGCTCAGGGTTTGGGTTTAATCCCCAGCAGGGGGCATGCAGGAGGCAGCTGACTGATGTTTCTCTCCCCCCCCCCCCCCCCCCGTGCCCTTCCCACTCTCTCTAAAAGTCAATTAAAGTATATTTATACTAGAGCCCCAGTGCAAGAAATTCATGCACTTGGGTGGGGTGGGGGGCCCTCAATCTGCCCTGTGCCCTCTTGCAGTCTGAGAGCCCTTGGGGATGTCCAGCTGCCGCCTAAGGCCCGCTCCCCACAGCAGTAGGATATCCTTAGAGCTGCTGCAGAGGCGGGAGAGGCTCCCACCACCACCCCTGCACTTGCCAGCCATGAGCCCAATTTCTGGCTGAGCAGCGCTCATCCTGTGGAAGCACACTGACCACCAAGGGGCAGCTCCTACACTGAGCATCTGCCCACTGGTAGTCAATGTGTATCATAGTGACCAGTCATTGCACTGTTGAGTTGATTTGCATATTAGCCTTTTATTGTATAGGATATTTATTTAACTATCACACAGAAAATTGCAATGAATTTGTAGAAATTCAGGGAAGATTAAATGCAATGAATTTGTAGAAATTCAGGGATGATTAAATGAATATTAATAGAAACAAAACTATCATTTCCCCATTGATTCTGCTCTGGTTGAACACGAACTCATAAATGTTTATCTGTTATAACTAAAGTCCCTTAGCTAAGCTCTTGTATATGATAAGTACATCTATACAACACAAGACAATTTTGAAAACACTGTTTGCCCTTCAGTTTATAACTGATATGACTTTAACACAGCATCATTTAATACTGATCAATGGAAGCCTAACCTCCATTTATAACCAATTAGAAAGCATACATTCTAAGGAAAGAAAAGCCGAGTTTACTAACTGTTCTTAACTACTGTAGCACTTTCAGACTTTACCCATGTGTGGACATGACTTCCCTCTTCTTAATGGAAAATATATATTATATCTAAAAATGTTTATTAATTAATAAATCTAATTTATAGGTTGAATTTAAACACCTACCATAGCCTCTCCACTCCTGATAATGAAAGCTAACCTATACAAGGACTTGTACATAGATGTTCATAGGAATTTTATTTTAATAACTAAAAACAGGAAACAGTCCAGCTGGCATGGCTCAGTGGTTGAGCCAGGAGGTCACAGTTTGATTCCTAGTCAGGTTACAGCACTCAATCCCTGTGAGAGGCATGTAGGGGACAGCCAATCAATGATTTTCTCTCGTCATTGATGTTTCCCCCCCACCCTACCCCTTCCTCTCTGAAATCAATTAAAAAATTAAAAACAAAACAAAAACGAAACAACCTAAGTATCCATCAATAACTGAATGGATAAATTGTGGTGTATGTATATGATGGGATAATCAACAACAAAAAGGAATAAACTACAGTACTGATACACACAAAGTAAATGAATCTCGAAATAATTACACTGAGTAAAAGAAGCCAAACCTTTTCCCCAAGCAACTGTGAAGAAGTACAACTGTATGATTCTATTTATATAAAATCCTAGAAAATTCAGACTAATGTAGTGATAGAAAACAGGATCAGTGGTTATCTCGAGAGGATGGGGAGAGGGGATTACAAAGGGATCATGAGGAAACCTGGGGGGCTTGTTTATCTTAATCGTGGGATGTCATATTAAGTCAGTGGTCGGCAAACTGCAGCTCACGAGCCACATGCAGCTCTTTGGCCTCTTGAGTGTGGCTCTTGCAGAAAATACCACGTGAAGGCGCACTTCCTGCGATTGAGACTTTGTGGCCCATGCGCAGAAGTCAGTTTTCGGCTCTCAAAAGGAATTTCAATGGTTT